GAGTGTGAGTGTGAGTGTGAGTGTGAGTGTGAGTGTGAGTGTGAGTGAGTGAGTGAGTGAGTGAGTGAGTGAGTGAGTGAGTGTGCGTGTGAGTGAGTGAGAATGAGACTGAAAGAGTGAGTGAGTGTGTGTGTGTGGCAGCGAGTGTGCGTGTGAGTGAGAGTCATAGTGAGAGTGAGTGAGAAAGAGTGAGGGTGAGAGCGCTGTGCCGGCTACGAAATCACGAATGGTAGCTTGAGCTACCTGAGTTCTCCTTGCTTTAGCGAAAATGCATTACAATCAGGAGTTGGGATTGTGCATTGAATTTGATCCTGTAAGAGTTGATTCTGTTCGTCGGGGGGGGGTCCCTCCATGGAGCAAATCCCCCCCGCGCCGGCTCCTTTCGTTCACCACCTCCTCTCTCAAGTCTTCACATCGAGGTTCACAAAGTGCTGTGCCGGCCACGAAGTCTGCTCCTTGAGGTTCAATAAGTGCTGCGCTTGCCACGAAATCTGCACCTCAAGGTTCACGAAGCGCCGCGCCTGCTATAAAATTTGAACGTTGAGGTTCACAAAGAGCGCCTCGACAATCACCACCATGTCCACAGTGCTGCACCTGCCCAGAAATCTGCATTTCGAAGTGAAAGCGCTCCCCCCCTTGCGCCAAGTCGACTTTGGACCACCAAAACATGAGGTTTCCCTTGCAGCTGCCACAAAATGACCACCATGTGCGAAAATGCACACAGCACCACAATGAGAACGCAGTCACGACCCCCAAGTGTGTCCACACTGTTTGGGGGGAAACTATTCCAAAACAATGCCTGGCTTAAGACTTCCCAAGGGCCCCCCTCACTTTGCCGTTCCCTCATTTGTCTCGTTTGGTCTATAGTGTTTTTGCGCAAAAATACGCCACTGCAGACAGCCATATGTAGCGTTTTTTCGCAGGCCACGGAGACGAGGACAATGCATATTGTACAATGTTGCCACGGGCACCACAGTGAAGTTTTCAATTAATGGTGCAGACGCCACAGTGGCGGTTGACGTTGGCCTCTGGCAAGGAACGTGTTTGCATCAATTTTTTTTTGCAGCAGCGCCACTGAACCCGACCAAACTGAACGATCTAGTTTTTGGGGTGGGACACCTCCGAACGTTGAAGGCCACAGGCGATGCCGGTACCTGGACAATGGTGAATGACATCACTGACCCGACGAATCTCAGGAGGGTTGAATCTCTAAAAAAGTTCGCCGCAGCAGTGAACGGGACACCGGCACCGCACTCGCTGGTTCAGTCCAGGGAGGTGCCCAAAATACCAGCAACAAAAGCCTTCCTGCGCCAAGCTAGGGCAAACGCAGCCGATCAAGAGCGCTATGGCGAAGCTTACTTGAAATTGAGAGTGGGGAATTTGCGAATGTCAGGTGTTGGCCTGAGAGGACACCGAAGCCCTCCTCACAAATACCAAGCCAGAAAAGTACCCGTCCCAAATCGCACAAGTCAATTCTGCCCTTTCATGCGCAGATGTGCGGGACAAACTCACACCAACACAGGCCCAGTTTGCGGCTGCCCTGATGCGCATGTTGACATGGGTGCAATGAGCCGTGCTTTCAACGCCACAAGTGACTTTCAATGTCGGGGGCCGCCTTGAAGGGTTTATATACTGGGCGATACTGGGCGTCAGCCAGTTCAGGCTAGTGTCAGATCCATGCAGCAAACCTACGTGATGAATCGAAGTGGTTGACCGAGGATGAAATTCAGCGATTTGCCCCACTCGAAAAAATCACCATGGCTGTCGGATCACCTGCCGGATCCCCCTGACCAACTGTCATCAGCTCCCGCATCAACTCAAGGAGCTGAAACAGCGGGCATCGGCGCGTGCAGACCCAACGTGCTGAGATAGGCGCGCCGCCTACGAGAGGTTTGAACAGGTTGTGCCAGCACCAAAACATGGTGGGCGTAGTCCAGGGGTCAACCATGGTAAACCTATCATGTCATCGCGTGTCGTTTCACCCCGGGCGCTCCTGTTGCACAAGTGCGCGAGTTCGGGGCATGATGTGCTGTTGAGTCTCCTGGACCGGGTGTTCTGGTTCAGGCTGTTTGCCAGACCTAGAATCTTTTGCCAAAGAGATTGTTTTATTACATGCCCGTTGCACCTTCGCAGGGTTGGCAATTCCTGCGCGAGAAAAGGTTTTGATTTTTTTGGTATGTATGGATGACTGGATGTATGTATGTATGTATGTATGCATGTGTGTATGTATGACAAAAACATGTGCACATGGATGTATCAAATGAAGTGAAATGTAGTAAAATTGAAGTTAAGAATGTGTAATGGGAAAATGTCTGTATGTATGGTTACGACTGTATGTACGTATGCATGTTGTCAAGCAGGTCGGATTGTTGTTTGTCCCCAACTGGGTGGCATCCATTTCTAGCAGGCGATTTCTAGCCCAACATCCTGTTTACAAGTACGTGAAGATTTTAACGCACACATCGTAATCAAGGGTGCACATTTGTTTGTGCACTTGGGATCACTTGGGGATTTACACCCGAAGAAAGACAAACAGCCGTGGTGCCATCATTTGGCCAAGTTGCCAACCGCTGTCCAGGAACAAAAAGAATTTCCAAATTGAACATTTTGAACCGCTAGCCCCCAAGATCCACGCTGTATTGTTGCATGTACCTTGGTGTGCTTGATCGCGGACACAACTTGAGGGAAACCCGGACATGGCACCATTGCCCTTCCTGCGGCTGCCGAAGTTGCTGACCTGGGAGGTGGCCTCTCTGACCCGGACGTTTCGCACACATGTCGTGGAAATCATTCAGGTTTCCAGGAAGAAACTAGCATGCTCCAAAGTGGACTCCTAAGCTAGTTGAGTCAACTGGACCTTGGCAAACCAAACGGGCCAGCGGTGGCGATGTTTCTTCCTCAGCGGGGCCAACACAGCCAAAACGCCGCACAGAGTGGCTACCAGGGATTGCCGTATATCAAACTGGTTTTCAACAACGCATTGACAAGCAGTGTGAATAAACCTAACCACGTGTAGTTCAAGTTGAATAACCAAATCGGCTTTCCATTTAGACACGCCACGCTTTGGAGGCACCAGAGATCTGTACGACCGCTACAGGTTGGTGGCGGTTATTTTGGGTTCGATTGCGCCCAAAACCCACAACCGCCTTTTATGCGCCAAGAAACGCGACCTCGACGAGCCAGTTGCACCAAGCCCTTGGAACCCAGCGCGTCAGACAAATCCAATGGAAACCATTTGGAACGATTGTTGTTTGCCAGTGTCGGATCCAATGCGGAACTCGGCTGGAGGAACATGAGGCGGTCGAAAAGCTGACGGATGGTTTTTGCCACAATCGCCCGACGTCAAGATTGCAAACGCATTTCCGGACAGAGTGTGGGCAATTGTTGCGGCGATCAGCTTGCTGTGGGCAAGCCTCCCGTGGCCCCCCTCAGTCACGGAACTGTTGTAGGATGCGCCCGCTTTTTGGTTCCTCAAACGGTTGACCGCAAGAAGATGACTTCAAACTGCCTGGTTGCGGCCCGAAGGCCACAAATGTTGCTCAAACCGCAGTGCAGCAGTGCAAACGACACAAGCAAGTTACATTGAAGATCCCACCCCCCCAAAAAAAATAGAAAACAATTAATTATTTGCCGGACCGGGTGATGAACGATTCCAACAACGATGTTTTTAAAGTCCCTACACGTTCCGATTAAACATTATTTAAAATATGGTCTACTCAGGTATTCTAAACATTTTTGGTTGTTGATCACGTTACCAGGTCAACCATGTGGAATGCAAAACTAACATATGTCCACTCGAATGCATTTTAAAATGTTTTGATCTTACATTTTCCAAGTGCAGAATCACCCCGCAGTCGGCCCATGGCTGAACTACTTGCAGACGAGCTACTCGAGGTTTGCCATGATGGGGTGGCGGAACTCAGCAGCCAAGACGGGCAGCTGGTTTCAATGTGAAGGGAGTGGGCGGGCAAGCTCACATGAACCGAGTGCATATTGGTGCCACATGCATTCACAATCTGTGCGATGGTCCTGGTTGAAGCCGGACGGGGAAGCCTCCCGAACCTCCTCCGAACATAAATCAACATACTAGTGCAACATGTTTCCTGCATCATTTTTTGTGACCCTCCAAAGGGTAGCAACAACAGTACACAAGTAAGTGTATGTTGAGTCAACCGTGGGCGTCACCTTGCAATAAAGCCACCAAACCAGTTCGATGGCTGCACGTGGTCTCACATTTTTGGATGTCAACGTCAATTGGAACTGGTTGCACCATGCCCACCGGGATAACTGACACCAAAAAAAAAAAAGATTCCTGCAAAGAATGAGGCCTGTGTCTTGGACAGGCAAGCCAAAACTGCGACAGCCTGGAAAAAACGACAGCGAACATCCACATTCACCACGAAAATGCACGAACCATTTGCCGCTTGATCGTTTATGATGCACACTGGGGAAGACGGTGAAAGCAGGGGGGCCCCACGCACGTCGCTGTGTATGGCTCTTATTGCCGCGCCTTTGCGCGTTCCAGCGTGGGGGTCCGATGGACCTTGCGCGGGAAGGGACGCCACCAGGAACAAGGCCCGGGGAGGAACCCTGGGGGGTCAATGTAGGCATATATGGCATACATGGAGTGTCTGCGTGTTTTGCCCGGGTGATTCACTGACGCGTTTTTTGCAATAGTTTTGGACGTCGAGGACCATAAAATATTGTCTAGTAACTAGTATTTTTCAATTCTTCGGGCGGCCTTAGTCCTGACATGGCGTGATTCCCCCAACTAAAGTTGCACTCCCTCAGAAGGAGCCAGGGCAAGGGAAGGACGCCATTTGTTTCACGGGCAGCTGTAAACCACCTCAGAAACATAGGCCCGCCATGACAAATGCAAAGTTTAAGAGTGTTGGTGCGTTGCCGTTCAGTTTTGCACGAGTGTTTTGCGGGTCGTGCAGTCATGTTGGTGCAACGGGGGGGGGCCCGCAGCAATTTGACAGACTCGTCAAACGGACTTTCCTGTTTCCTCAGACAGGTTTGCGCTAGCATGCACCAGGAAAACGACCTTTGCATGACCGCTTGGCCCGTGGAGAAAGGGAAATAGACCAGTCTCACCAACCATTGGGCCACGGGGCCCCTCCCCATTAAACCACACGCTGACCACCTGCGCCTCGCAACGCCATGCAGGACATCATTGCTTGATTTATCCCCACCCCGCCGGTCTGACAGGCCGGGAACGTTTCGGAACGCCGTCTCACCGGGGCGACACGGACGGGGGTGAGAAGGGTGTCGTGGCGATGGGAAAACCACACGGTGCAGGTGCACTGGAAAACGATCCACAGTTGCAGGTAAAGTACCCAGACACGACCTGTTTGGGACTGGCATATTTACATACATTGACCCCTAAAACCACCCCAATGTAGGTAAATGATGCCAGTCCCAAACAGGTCGTGTTTGGCATAGAGCAAACACGTGAAACATCACTTGTACAGCACACTCCGAGACGAGATCCGAGCGGATCAACAGTCAAGAGGGTTCTGGGCCACCGTGATGTTTGTTGCACTGTCCTGTCGTTTTCGCAACCGGTCCAGTCATTTGATTCAGGTGCTCGGAGTCGGGGGGGCCTCGTTGACCAAGAGCATGTGCCATGAGAGGAGTACCAATGAACTGGTTTTTGCGGATCAGTCATGCACACCACTATGAACTGGGTGACCACCCAATAGTACTGATCCAACCAATGGTACCCTGGTTTTGCTGATCAGTACCCAGTGATTCTGTTGTTTTCACTCTGGGTGAGTCGTTGCAGGATGTGTCAGATCAGGAATTGCATGTTGTTTTCACGCCAATGCAGTCGCTGGTGTTGATGGCGCCGCGCGGCACCCTTCCATGCTTGGAAAAATGGATCCGCCCCATCCCAGAGTCAATCTAGGTGTTGGATTGGCCAATGGAAGGTCAAAACACAATGTGTTTCATTGTTTCTTGGCCTGTGTGTTCATTGCTGATGATTCTGGACAGATGACCATGCACAGCTGGTTTACAACCAGTCAGGTCGTATTCGGCACACCGGTTGATGTTTGATGGCATATGTCCCAGACACTCCATGGGACTGGTATATATGCCTACATTGACTTCTGAAACCACCCCAATGTATGCACATATGCCATGCACGGATATGCATGGAGTGTCTGGGTGTTCTTAGAGCTGGTGGACGCTTCTGTGCCCTTAGCATCTGCAAACCACACACGTTGACCCGTGTGGTGATGGTCCCTGAGAAGCACTAGAAATTGGAACGTGGGAAAGGATGAGAAAGGCGCACACTCGCAGTCTATTTTAATTTAGCCAGCAAGGGTTTTAACGGGTTCGGTCAAGATTGCCTGCTCCAATAACTCTCTTTGAAAAAAGTATGTGGATCGATAGGGAATTGGATACACCTCCCCTCATGCGCACCAGGCTTGAGTTCCAAATTTGTGGCCATAACCTTGCGCTCGACTTTTCACCCCTTTCGCGCGACTCACCTTGGCACGTCTCACCATGGGAAAACCGCAAAATCCATCGTAAACATGCTGAAGAACTTGGAATGCTACAGGTCCAGTGATAGGTCCAGTATGGTCCAGTGACGATGGTCCCAACTGACCATGATGCACCATCCACAAAAACATCGCCCACCCCTTCATCCGGACGCCAGGCTCCCGCCCGTCGCCAGCCCACGGGCACGCTCCTTGAGTCCCCGACCGGCCGAGGCGCCTCTGCGGCGGGGGGAAAGGGGGTTGAAAGGGTTTTGAATGGCATATGTACGTTGACCCCTGAAATCAACCCAACTGATTGGCAATGGGGAGTGTTATTTTGTTCACATAAGGAGACGGCCCCGTAGACGGATGCTGCTTGGCTGGGCAGACTGGTCGTTTTTCCGAACCCAACCCGAGGGAGGTCTTCCTATTGTATTGCAAGTCATGTTTTGAGTTTGGATGTTGTGGAGGACCGCCACCTGTTTTGAGTCCACAAATATTGGTGAACAAATATTGGTTCGCAATTCAGCTTTTGGTTCGCGCCTTGAGCTCATGGGTTTGGAAGTTGTGGAGGACCAACTCCTTTCATGTGCTGCTGGAGCAGCTTCAAGACAGTTGCAGTTGGGCATCGATGCGCCATGTTGGCTTCGCCAGGGAGAAAGCAAGAGCTGTGGGAGGCGATCAAGTTTGAGGGTAGTAGGATGCATGCATCATGCATTCCTGAAGGCCCTCCAGACCAGGGGTTTGCACCCTCAAAACCTGTTGTTTTTGAGGGTCCGCGGATTTTTAGGGCGCAACGCGCGTGCAATGCTTCCGCGCCACGGGCACGCTGGGGGTATCTTCTTCCATCCAGATGCGCTTCCACATGAGACCAACCTGAGCCTCTTTGAGAACCACCAGGTCACGAAAGCTAGCATCAGCTAGCTGAAGTTGCTCTTGCTTTAGCAAGTCAAGGGCTCGCAGCCTCGAGAATCATGAATCACGTGAAAACTTCACGTGTAGGGGGGGGGGCCCCCCCCCGCGGGTTCAACTCCCTGCTGGGACGCTTCCGGTACGTGCTATAGTGCTATGTTTAGGTGGCAGGTGAAGTAGGCCACTGTTTGAGTTTGGAAGCGGGGGCATGAAACATGAAATTTACGCGAGGGTTCAAGGCTTCAATGATGAGCATCACGGGAAGTCAGAAACCAGGCGTATCAGATATACGTGCCTTTGAGCTTCCTTCGGCATCTCAGTGCATATGGCTGACACTTCACTCGACAAAGATGCTCAAACAAACATACATAAACCAGGTGTATCTGGTGTATCTGATACGCCTGGTTTGTGACTTCCCGTGATTCAACTGTTGGATCGTCATGTATATGTAATGAGGGATTGAAGAAAAGCAACCAGTCCGGATGCACCCCTGCTAGCTTTCGTCACCTACCCTCGGCCTCAAGTTTTAGATCCCTTGGGCAGTTGAAGATCGACATGAGTCGTCCTCGGGGACACAAACACCGGTGGGCCCCATGGGCCATGGCCCGGCCGAAACGAACGCCGAGGAGTCACCCGTCGCCACCCCGAAGGCCGACGTTCTGACCGACGCGTCGACGAAACGGGGGAGTCACGTTTGGAGAGGATCCATGGGATGAATTATAAGCTACGTTTCACCAGCAAAAAACCACCAAAAATGTAGGTAGTAATGTAGGCCTGTTTGCTTACATGTATCAGAATCTATCATTTGGAGTTGGTTGTGTTGTTTTTTTTCTCTAGGACTCTAGGCGTCCACGTTGTGGAGGAAAACCTCCATCCTTCCCGCATCTTCCCGCGCATGTTGCACAAAAGAGTGAGATCCGCAGAGACTCCTATCGATGCCAGGACCTGTGGGCCGATGTTCCGGCCAAACCAAACAGGTTTTAGAATGTCTTAGGGTCCTCATCAGATCTCATCTGGGTCCGTTTCTTCGGCGCCTTCGATGTTCCGATCTCCTGGAACGAGCCGAGCCATGCAACATCGATGATGCTTGCTTCTATACGATTCGGGGAAGATCTTGTGACTCATCCATTTTTGGGCCTGTAGACACCGGGAGGCTGCATCAGCATCATATGCCCTAGGGCTCCAAGCACTTCCTCAGAAGGTATTTGGACCCTCCGAACCCACCAAACACCTTTTTAGAAGGTGCTTGGAGCCCTAGCGATGCATTTTTGGTGTTCTGGCACCTGGCATCTTTCTCTGTGGGCTGAGACGACTTGTGACTCACGTGTGTTGCTGACAGGCTTTCCGAAAGGCCGATGCAGGGTGGTTCTCGGTGCCAAGTTGTTCTTTTGGTTTTTGAGTGTTGCCGGCTCCAACTTGATCCAGACCATCCGACCAGCTGTATGTAACTAGTCCCATGGATGGTCAGACGGTGAGGTCCCATGTGCCGAACATGTCTCAGCGCAGATTTTCCCGGTTCAGTTGGCTGGAGCACTTTCGGGTCGAAGTCAACAAACTGGGCGGTGCCAGGGTATGAAGCACATGGTTTCATTCTTAGTTGCGGGAACGTCGCGGAATGTCCTCCTCATACGACATCCAGATGCCCAGTTGGAGAAATTGCCAGATCATGGCAGATCCCCCAGATGCTCATTTGTGCCCCAGCTTTGTTCTTCCCAACGTGGCAGGGGAAGAAAAAGAAGAAGAAGAAGAAACGTCGGGGCAGCAAAGACAGCAGCCACAGCTGCCCACCAGGCTGGCACCGCATGTTCGTTGTTCGGTCACACGGTGCATGAGAAAAACATGCCTGTGGCTGCCCGACTCTGTTCAACCATGTTTAAACAAGATCCTTGTTGACCTGGCGGTATGTGTGTGTGTGTGTGTCGTTGGAAATCCTCATGTAAAACCATAGTTGTTTGGGGTTTGAGATCCTGCCCCCTGCAAAGAGTGGCCCCCCTTGTGGAAGAGATGCTCCTTGAAACAGACCCACACACGCGATATTATGGATGCGATAGTACCCCTCCCAAAGGCAAAGAAATGGACTATCCCTTGAAACACTGTTTCCCTCTACCAAGCTGTTTTTTTTTCCACTTCCAGGTTTGTTTGGGAGGATCATCCTGGCTCAGCAGAGCTTGCAAAAGCCAGTGGTCTCTCTTTGCATCACGTCCCGGGGTGGCTCAACCGAGAGATCTCCAGATCTGCGGGACTTCATCCTGCTGAGTTCCTGAAAGGTTGGAATGGATCTCAGACATCACCCATTGGCATGGATGGGTCATGCTGGATCACTTGATTTTGTGTATTTTTTGGGGGCTGTGGTTGGTGCATTGAATTGTTTTTTTCCCCACGTCAAATCCACGTGAGAGCATCTCATCACTTCGCATCACTTCTCGAGTAACTCGACACTTGACCTGTGCGGACTCTCTGCCGCTCAGATCGCAGGTCCTGAGGAGGACCGCGCCGCCGCCGTACGGGGAGGGAGCTCAGACCGCCGGGGCGTACGAGCGGGGCGTACGAGCGGGCGTCGTTGGTCGCAAAACGGGACGTGGAAAAGAGAGGTTGAACAGCCCGTCTTGTCGCCTATCCCAGTCAATAATCACTACAGGGTCCTAGTTCAGGTCTCTCAACCTCTCTTGGTTTGGCTGGGGCCTGGTCTGGGGCCTGGTCGCCATCTCAGCAAAACAAAAACCACCACCATCCGAGTGGTTATGTGTTGCGCGGGGGGGAGGCTATTGACCATCATCCGTTGTTGGGTGAGCGGAGGTGCATCATGGATTACATGCATTTATGATTGCAGGCCCTACTGTAGCCTTCGGAGACCATGGGAGGATTGTTTCACCGGGTGTTGTAGACTAAGATGGTACGTTTGGCAAAGGTTGCGATAGCCGAACTGGAATCTTGCCAAACAACTCTTGCCAACTGGAATGGAGATAGAACCATGGTTTTAAGAAGCAATTAGTTCGTCCTCTCCGGCAGATCCTGGAGATAGAACTGGACTCAGCACCTCAGCACCACCCTCCACCATAGGTCCGGTCCGGACAGACCACTTCTGCCAATCAGGTGATGTCGATTGGGTCCATCCCTGGTTTCTGCGGTCGACGTTTTAGGCCATCCAAACCGAACTGGGTGGTGCAAACCCCACAACAAAAGGCAAGCATCAATCCCAGACACCCCCTGTGTATTTCCGGTGGCTTGACGTTTTTCGGGTCATATATATAAATGGGATGATTCCAGTCCCGGACTGGATAGCCGAATGGATTTGCAGGACACGCCCTCGGACTCCTCAAGCCCCACCTTCCGTGTGTGTTGGCAGCAGATTGGAGCAGCTGGAGGGCCAGCAGCGAGGATTTGGAGATTGGATTGTGTGGTGAGTCAGGGACATAAAACATATGACTCTTATGACGACGTGACAACATTTTTGGGGGGGGCTTGGATCTTCATATCCCAGCAAGTCCAAAGGACGGGTTAAACTGGTGCGTTAGCGTAAAGGACGCATTTCACCTCCCAACTTCCAAGACCTAATGTTCACAGGTTTTTCACGGCCTTTCACCCTGTTTTCACGGTTTTTTCACGTCCTTTTCACGGGTTTTTCACGGCCTTTTCAAGCTTCCAGCTCCCGTTTTGCTAAAGCACCGGTTAAACCGGTGCGTCACTAAAGAACTGGTTAAACTGGTGCGTTGACCCACTGGGTATGTTTAAACATGTCTTCTTTGGGGGAGCTTTTAGACTTGGTGATCACAATTGACTGACTAGATGTTTGGGGGAAAGGACTCACTCCAGGAAAACGTCAGGAGGACGCTGAACCGACAACCAGGGCTGTATTGGATATATTAGCTTGTTTGGACCGTTTTTCTTCAAAGGGCTCAGCTTTTGCAAACCAGAGAATTGCAATGGCTGGTTCCGAGAAGCAGACATCAGAAAGACCAAGCGCTCAAAAGAAGAATGACGGCAGATATCAGATATCACAAGAAATCAAAGAATGCGCAACACTTTCTACCCTCCCATGTTGTGCTGTTGTCAACGGGCAGTACCCCACACACACACACACAAACCCTACAGGTCCAAAGACACCGTAAAACCTTGTTCTTTACCTCATAAAGTCATGTTTTGCATCATCAACAGTCACAGTGAGGTCCCTTCCTGACCCTGTAACTGGGTCAACCCCCTCCCTTTAAGTTCTCTCCAGTGCCGCACGTGTGCCGCACGTCTCACACGCCTCGCCCCGCAAGGGTCGGAGTTGCAAGGCTTCGGGCGCGATGTCCCGTACGCCCTGCAAGTGGGGCGCCGAGTGCTACCGGAAGAACCCCGAGCACAAGCGCCAGCGCCTCGGAGAACGGCGGGAGACCCGGGGGTTTCGATCGGGTGCATCGAGTGTTCCAGCCTGTAGCAAGGGATACATCTCCCAGACACTCCACACTCCATGTCAACAGAGGTAGCCAGTGACCTGAACGTTCGGACCCTACCAGGGTTACCGAACTGGGATAGTCTCTAGTCTAGTTCGGGTTCTGACCCACCTCTGTTGGGTGGGAGGATTTCAGTTGCCGGCAGATCTACCAGTCCCATGAGTCGTGTTTGGGGCGCCCCAAACACAAGCCTTCAATGGTCACCGTGGATCCGAGGACTGTCCGAGGACCAAGGAGGTGATGTGGATTTCCCTGCACGAAACTGGGTGTGTTTAATATATATACCTAGAGCCCAACTGACCTTTGTTTTGATAGGAAAAGACCATGTTTTGGCTCCAAAACAGGGGCCCATCAGGTTCTAGGTATATGTTAATACCCTTGAGAATGTGTTTGGTCAAAAGACGTGAGGTTTCGAGGCTCCAGACCCGGGCCCTTATGGATTTCTTTTCGGTTTTTTTGGTTCGCAATGGCCTCCAACCTAATATAGGGATGACCTCCTGGGTTCTTAAAGAGGGAGGTGTACAACCCAGCCACCTTCGTTGTGAGAGGCTTCGGCTATACCGAGGTATAGTCACCCTGGTGACCCCGACCACCCCGAGACCGAAGCGCCCGAACCGCCCGCGCGAGCTGTCGTCTCAGAGCCTGAGTCTTCAGTGGCGCCGGAAGCAGTTTTAGAGGATGGAGGACCTTGGAGTATCATGGCAGCAGTGACTTCTGATCTTCTGACCGTTTGGATTTTTGCCGAGATCGAAGCTCCAGCTGCAGCTATAGTGAAACTGAAGGTGAACTCACGGTTCACGTGTTCAGGGAACAAAGAAGACGTTTTTGGCCTTCTGGTGGCGTTACTGGGTCCAGAGAAAGATGCCTCCTCAGAGAAATGAACGCCTTGTTTGCTGGGCTGCTAGATAAAGTCAACATGCAAGTGAATGCCACCATGGGCTTATTGACAACCAGACCACCCGGCCACCTATGGTGGATCTCCTGGTGGGCAATGGCCGGGTCTCGGTGGGCCAAATCTCCAGTCCCTGTGTGATGCCGTGGTTAGTCTCCAGCTCTGAAGACGTGGAACACCTTGAAGCTCCACCCATGCAGTGCCGCACAGTATGCACGGGCACTCACACGTGGTTCTTTGAGGAAGTGGGTGGTTTTCGTTTGCCGTGCAGGCATCGAATTCAATGGCGCATGTCTTGTTGAATGGCAACTGTCTACTCCGAATCCTTTTCCTTGCAGGTGCCAAACTCTCCCGGTGCTCACGGGAGACAAATACCACCCGAAACCGACCCGTTCTAAGAAAACCATTAATATATAACTATAAGTCATGATCTCCACTACTAAGTGCAGTCATGCATTAAAACCGACCCGTGCAGTGATCTTCACCAAGTTCTTCACCCCCACCGTTGATGTCCACCTCTCGCCCGGTCCAGGTACCGATCACCTGGACCGGCACGACTCGGTGGCCTCGGTGCCGCGCAGCTCCGCCTCGGCGCCGCTGAAGAGCGGCTCCGACCTGGACCTCCCGGGCGACGACGGAGGAGAGCCGGCGCGTGAAACCAAACCGCGCTCGCGCGGTCTGTGCGGGTCGACCGGAGGCCCGGTGTGCGGGAGCTGTGGAGGCATAGAACACGGAGAAGAAGAAGAAGAAGAAGACGATGTTGGATATAGAAAGGCCTGCAAATTGAAGTATGCACTGGATCCCTGTTTGGGATGACATATATGATGATATACTGAGTGTACCCAAAAGGATTTCTTGGGAGTGGAAGAGGTGGTCCTTCATTCCCTGCGAGTTGCACCAGTCTGATCCAGTCTAAGCAACATTGTCCGGGTTTGGCGGATCACGTGATTCTTTATTTTCTCTATGGTTGAATCTCGTTCCTGGTGAATTTTCCAAGTTATTGGAATAGGTACGAAACCCGGTTCTAGACGCCAAAACCAGGTCGACCCTTACGGGCGGCTGTAGTCCTGACTGCCAAATGGTGTGGAACCTGGTGCAACTCCCCCCCCCAAAGAGAGGATTGAGGAAGCAGGTGCCACCGACCACATCCACAATGGGCAAAAACCGCCGGTTTCACGATTGAAAGTGCCGCGAGAAAGGAACACATTGAGTTTAAAGTCTATTTTGACATATTTTGGGCCCTTCGAACGCAGAAGGGAGTGGGCAACAAGTCAGTTTAGTTCGTTGATGGAAGTTGCACCCTTCAGGAGCCAGGGTAAGGGAAGGAGGCCATTGTTTGCAAGGGCGGCTGTAAACCAAAGCCCCGCAATGACAACTCATCCCTATAGGCCCTACTGAGAACCAGTCAGTTTTGTGGGGGAGGGTGCTTGGGATCGGGAAGAGCAGGAAGATGCAGGAGGCACATGGAGGTACACAAGGACCGGATAGGGTTGGTAGATGGTAGATGTTGCTCCCAGTCCTTCCCGAGGCGCTACCAGTCACCGATCTCAGTGCTTCGAGGAGCAAGCTCTTCCAACGCCGCTGGTGTTGCCAGAAGCAGCTCCTGGCATGGTTGGGTTGCCTCTTCTTTTCCGAGCAGCAGATGCTTGGCAATGGTCGGGAGCGGTGGTGTTTGTGTGGTGTTTGGGGGCAGTTCGGTTGGCAGTCCTCCTTTGCGGACTAAGCTTGCTTTGGTGGGCTTAGGAGGTTTTAGGTATCATCAGGAGTGTGTGTGTGTGTGTTTGTGCATGCGTAATGTCGACTCTTGATTCATAAAACCCCCAGTTTGGATTATAAAACCTTTTCATGGCAGGAAGGTTTTATGTTGTTTTATTAGTCAAGAGTTTGCATTACTATGGCCGATGCATTCACAGGTTAGGTGCAACCTAGCACCAGGATGATCTGAGGATCTGAGGATGAGACATGAGTTTGTGTTCGGAAATGGCCAGACAAGCCTGGAGATCTTGGTGTGGTGAGTGAGGTGCCAAATCCAAGAAACATCAGATCCTTTGCTGACCGCCTCTTCCTTCGCTTACTTGCTTTTCCCGGGCGCCCCGCATGTTGCAGTCAGAACCATGGCAGAACCATGACTAGTCCGTTTCCGTCTTGACCATGCGTTGTTTCGTTGTTTCGTCCCAAGGTCACCATGAGGTGCTGAACAACGATCTGGAGTCCGTGCACGAAGGCGATGAAAAGAGGAGCGGAGGCAGCGGAAGCAGCGGAGGCGGCGCGGAATGTGCTCGTCGTGCTGGTTGGACGGGCGTTGAAAGCTGCCCTGAGGGTCCAAGGTTGTGGCTCGTTTTATTTCAATCTGGTGGATTATGACTACCAGGTGGGGGGTATATAGCTATCATTATACATAGCTGTATATTATATATACGTTCAAATAAACAACTAATCAATTAGTGGACCGGATGCAATTGACTTCAATTGATTTACCAATTAGTTAGTGGATGCAATTGACTTTCCTTCTGTGTGTTACCGCTTGGATTCGCTTCACCAGGAGCTTCCTTCTGTTTTCTTTCTGTCTCCGAACAGCGCTCACCGGTGCGGTCAGAGCGAGCAAGTGCACTCGCCGAACAGGTGTGGCAGTAGAGGCCAAGCTCGACGTGGTGGAGGCGCCAAGCACTCGCCCGTGCTCGTCGCGAAGCTCGCGAAGCTCGCGTGGCACCCATCGGCTCGGCTTGGGTGGGGACCGCATACGTGAGCTCTCCGGAGTCCGTACGAAGGCAGCGAAGGGAGCTCTCCGCTGTGGGACCAGAGACGAAGGCTCGGCAGTTCCTACATGAACATCGAACCATGGCCCATGTGGGACCGATCCCCCCGGAGAGCGTGACCAATCGAGCAATCTTCCTGTCAACCCCGCCCTGGACTACCCAGCCCACTACCTAGAGATCACCAGAAACACCAAAAGGACGGTCCAGGTCTGGTCATGGTCATTCGACAGGAGCGAGGTGGTATGGAGCTTGGATTCGCTCAGGCAACCGCTTCGGATGTCGCGAAGGGACATCCATGCAGGAGGTCCATCATGTCCATCGCCGGCCATGCTTTGTGACAAAAAAAGGCTCTTTTGAGCCATACCACCCGTGACTTGTTCAAGACGGAGGAGGACACCTCCGGGAGGGGCGAATCATAAGAACCCCAAAGCAGACTCTCGCACGGGCAGGTCGAATGACCCGCTTCATTTGGCAAATTGGTTTGGGAAAATGGGGATTGCACTGACTTATGCTGGTTGTGCTGGTGCGCCCCTCTCCTACTTCCAAGAATGCCGGGTGTGTGGATTAAGACTCGTGCTTCACCCTGCTTCGAGGTTCATGTCGATCACGTGGATTTCGGTCCCATTACTCCACCCACCCAGCTCACTTGCAGGCCAAATGTGAAAACCTCGCTCTGAGAGCCGAAACAACTCCGACCAGGACCTCAAAATCTACAAAAAAAAGGTGAGAAACTCCAACCCTCCCTCCAAATGGTTTGGGCTTGTCAGCGGAATGGGCCAGGAAGCATTAGGAGTGCCAGTGAGACCCGTGACCAATACAGACGTGACGAATGGGACCTGTTCTTGGAACTCCTCAACTTCCTGGCCCATCTATATACTGCAATGTAGTCTCAAATCCTCAGTGAAACTAGGCTTTGGGGGGGCAAAAGCACCATGATAGTAAGACAAGTAACAAGGACCAACTCCCAGGGTACTTCCCACAAGTTTGGGCTTTGGCCGTGACGTTCCGTGACGTTCCGTGTGGAGTAGAACACCTTTGCGGAGCCACCCGCAACACCAACTCACCCAGATTTCTGCCTGCCTTCGAAGAAAAGTGCAGGAAACAGGTTGATGAAACATAGAAGAGAGGGAAGAATAAACTACTTGCATCACCGAAAACTGACACTATAGAACACCCGTCCACCGGGTTCTAAAGAGAACCGTACTTGCTTCCTTATCATGTTTTTGCTGCGTGCCAAGTTGCGTTTCACTAGTTGTTCTTTCACGTCTATGTGAACCGCTGAAAACACCATTGGATGTTTCGACTTCAATAGAGCAGTCACCCAAAAAATGAAGAAAAAAAAGTAACCCAAAAGCAACCCTTCAAAAGCACTGCATTTGATAAATATATAAGTTAACATATAATATATACCAGCACCCTCCAACAGGTCACCACCTGCGACGTTTCAGTCTGCATTTCTTCTCCACCATTTCGGAGACCTTTTTCGAGTCGGGTGGAGATATAACCAATTACTAAAAATGAATATGTGGGGTCATCTCATGATTTACCTCCTTCGTTTCGGAGGGACATCTCCATGTAGGGAATGCACCGCCTCACCGCCTAACGGAGGCGGTCTCCGTGGGTCGCGTGGGCCGCACCGCCACGCGCCCCGTGTGCCGCTACGGCGCCAGCTGCTACCGGCACGGCGTGGAGCACCGGGCAGAGCAGCCTGGTGACGGAGGGAACTCTTCCAGAGGTAGCCAGTGACCGTAAATAGGACACCGAAAAAGGATAGTCAAACCTAGGGTTCTTCAACCTCTGCTGGTTGAGCTGCGTCCTTCAGATCCTTTCCATTCCTTTCCTTCCTTTCAGGAACTCTTCTTGAGGTCCACCTGGAGGGTCCGGCCGTTGTCCGCCATGCCTGGACGATCAGAACGGACACACCAAGGTATGCGCATCCCGGCGACCCGGATCATCCGGAGACCACCACACCCATCGGCGCAGTAGGCGCGCACCTGAGGGTTCGTTTTGGGTTGGTGCGTGCTTTGTCAGCTCCCTCAGAACTCCGTGGCAAATCTTTTGAAAGCCACTTTGGTGTGATTTTTTGTTAGCCTCACATAGCACCACCCTACAGACCTGAGAGAGAAGGGAGCCACATGGAAAGTGGAAGCCGACAAAAAAGAACCAAAAGAAGCCTTGAGGATGGCTGTGCAGCTGGGACGGCTGCGTCTGGATTTTTCTTGGATCCGCGACCGTCCACAAAGCCCGCGGTCGACCAGACCAAGCCGAGTCCACGAACCGCACCACAACGTACCCAGACATGGATGGATGGATGACTGGCATATGTTCACGTGTATGGTTGCATCAAAGTTGACTGGCATGGATATGGATGACCAGTACTGGATGGATGACCCTTGCCAACAAAGTTGCAGTGGTTGAAGAGGGCTTCATGTACGTATGTTCATGTGACGTGGGGTGTGTGTGCGTGCCCAAGGCCCAGAATGGGTGAGGGTATGTGAGGGTTAGGGATGTGGGTCATGGTGGGTCCTTGAGGGAGGCACCTAACTGGGAGGAAGGCATCAGTCCATCGAGGTCTGGGAGGCCGCCTCTTTCCCTTTCTGGCCACCACGTGTGTTGCTCTGCGCTGTGCCTGAAACATCCACTCCTGGCTGGGGGAAGTCGAGAAAAACTCGAAGTCGGCACGTCCAGAGTGCGTCTGAGTTCAGCACGTCCCTTCCCTTTGAGTGCTTCGAGTGTTTCTCACATTTGCTCATGGCTGGTGATGTCTCGCATTCACTGAGGATGACTATCGACTTCTAGTGAAGCTCATGGCAGTAGTCTAGCTGCAGCGCCAGCATTATTGGCGCCTCACTGCGGATCAATAGATCACAACTGGATACACTCCCAGAAAGAATCATGGAAGTGAACTGCTGCCTGTTCGTGGAACATGGTCACCCCAGCCAGATTGTTCTCCTTCCATGATGCTTCGGAGTCTTCTCAGCTTCCAACAGAGGTAGCCAGTGACCTGAACGTTCGGACCCTACCAGGGTACCGAACTGGGATAGCCTAGTTCGGGTTCTTCAACATCTGTTGAGATGTCAAGAAGTGGATGTTGCCTTCCAAGGGTTGCCCTGGCTGAACACCGGTCACCCGGTCCCCACGAGAACGGTGGTCGCTTGCTCGGTGTGTTGCCGTGCCGGTCATCGGGTCGGTCCGGAGGTTCCCTGAAGCCATGACAGGTGCCTATCCATGTAGACTGACTGGTGCGACTCGCAGGGTGGCTGAGGGTGGCTGGATCCAATAGAATCTCTATTGGGGGCGAAACTTCCCTTATTCCCTACGAGTCGCACCAGTCAGTAGATGTAGTATCATGTAGTATCTATGTACCCCCTGGCTGATTGATCCTTTTTAGCACCTTGGCCCCCTTGGCCGCTCGGGCCTTCGCCAGGGAGAGAGGTTCCAGCGTCCAATGCAGAAGAGGCGGGGACAATGACATGGTGTTCCCAGGCTGTTGTGGGACGGTTTGATGTAGGAAGAAGAAGCCAAGAACACCCTACTGTACTAATGTAGACTCTTGATCCATCACCCCATGCATACGAAGATGTGTTACAACATGCGTTTTCCAATCCAAAAGGAGGGAGCTGAGCCTCTCCACGTGCTTGGGAGCTGAGATGCGAGGAGCCAGCCTCCATTCTGGTGGTGTCCTCGCCTCTCGTTTCACTCGGTGAAATGTCCACATCTCCCAGTGCCACCAACCAGAGACCAACAGAGGTTAAGTGACCTTATAGGACCCTACCAGGGTACCTATGGGATAGCCTAGTTCGGGTTCTTCAACCTTTGTTGAGATGTCAAGATCCTGGACGTTCGCGATTCAAGGAGAAGCTGGTATCTATGCATTGGCTGAAGCGGAACTCCTGAGTGGTTCCTCCCACCAAAAAAAGCAGATGGTCCGACCATGTACCTAGTATACCTGGCGAACGAGTGTTGATCAAGCCATACATGTTCGCGTGCCCAGCCATACGCCATACACGTCCAGGGCAACAGGCGATTTCCGGCCAATGGCTGTCTTGGAAGCACGGTACCCCTTCGGCATTTAAGACAGCAGAACGATGAAGAATGGCTGAATCAGCCTGCCAGGGCATTCCACATGGACGCGCGGTAACACCAAGGGCCATGGGCCGAGTGAGTCTTTCGTGCTGAGAGTTGGGTTCTGTGAGGCTGCGGATGGTGACCATGGACCAGGAACCAAATATGATTCCTGGTAACATGCATGGTAAGCATGGGATATCTAGCGGGATGGTCACCAGGTAGTAGTGTAGGGTGCTATTGACCCTTTCATGAGCATCCTGTCTGGGTGTGCAAAAGGCTACCCAGCCCACTGATCTCGGACAGCCAGGTCTGGGATGGTCCAACCCTAAACCGCTTTGAAACCAAAAGCTCCGAACCGGACTGGCAAAGATGCCAGTCCCATCAAATGGGGCACTTCTCCTTTTCCAGGAATCCGGTGCGACTCGTAGGGGGCCTCGCCCCCCAGACATTCCATTGGATCCAGCCCCCACGGACGACGACCGTGACGGCACACCGAAGCCGTTGACGGCGCGGTCCGTGCGCCCGTGCGGTCCGTTCGCCGGTGCGGTCCGACGGACTTCGGGACGACTCCAGGAGTTCGAAGAGCTGGAAGATGTCGAGGAGGGGCGGTGCGTCAAACACCCGCCACGGTGGGTGTGGCGTGGTCACCGGGGGGTCTTTTGTTGGGGATTCGTCCTTGCTAGCCAGCAGGCATCTTGGGAATTTGTTTGGACCTGCTACTTCAAGATACGGCCCCCCTCAAAAAAAAGGAGAAGCAAGTTGAGTTGAGATGGGATTGTTGGAAGTGCTGTGGGGATGATTTTGGGGACCCGAGCATCTTCCGCTATTCAGGGCATTCCTGAAGGCAAGCCCTCGCACAATCACTAGGCCTGTGTATGTATATATGTATGAGTGTATGTCATCTACACACACAACTACACACACAATATATATATATATAAATAGCCTCTAGCCAAAAGCATGTGTATGCTGTCGATTGCTATAGCTTGTTTGTGGTTTGGGCCGTTCATGTGAGCGATTTGGTGCGCCAAGCAGTCCGCCACTCGAGCGCACGGCAGGAGTTGATTAGTGGGTAACATAGTGGGTAACCTTCAAGCTTTTTTGGGGATGTGTGTTCCCATGAAATTAGAACAGGCGGAAAAAAGGTTACCCATCCCACCACGATCTCCAGGAAACCTGCAGAGCCATCGGTCAACAATCATGAAAATCTAGCCATCATCATTTGCTGGGCCCTGGTCGTATTTGGTGATGGGATTGGCCCAAATCTAACCTGTGAAGTCTTGCGAAGTTTCCATTCAACCAGGAGTATTTATTGGGCGTTTAGTTGTAGAAACACCCTGATGGTTGATGCATCCGCCTGATGGGGTGCCCAGTGCACCGTGCCATTCACGGGCAGGCGCCAAGGACTCCGGAAGCAGACGGTGAGCTCGAGGAGGTAAGACCACAGTGGTGGGGGGGGAGCAGCTGGTTCAGTGGGCTTTGCAGTTGGTGGGTTTTAACGAGGTTTTTATTTGGTGCTCTATTGATAATTACAGGGGTTGCACATTGGTGGTTTCACCAGTGCTTTGAGTTCTTGCTTCTTAAACATCCAACTGCGATCATGGAGATGGTTGTGGAAAAGTATTGCAGCTCAAGAATCACCGCACACTTCGCAGTGCTCCATGGAAAGGTGCTTTTCATGAAAAGGTTCAAGTTCTGTGACGTGATGCCTTTCATGATGTAAATAGCATTCATCTGAAACCTTGCAACTTTGATGGGTTTGTTGCACTAGTCCGGGCGGTGGCATGGCTGGTGCAAATCGGATTGTTCCTGAGGGGTTTTGGGGTTGTGTGACCTCCAGCCAGCCAGCAGCAATTTCCAGTGGCAGGATACTTCCGGTTTCATCACTTAAGGATCCATGATCAATGTGTCACTTACGAGGCCAGGGTGGGAGTTATCGCAGTCTTCAGCACTTCGCGGCTGGCATGGTGGCGCAAATGGCGCAGCCAACCCAGCAGGAGAAATGGCAGGCAGTGCCGGTCGCACTGAACGTTATCCGGGCGAACCACCATGCAGCATGAACTCCTGACGGCCAGGGCGCGTATTGACACTGCAACACCCAGCAAAGAGGAAGCATTCCATATGCGCGCTCACTCCCCAGCGTCAAAGGACAGCTTGCCGCACGGTGGTGTCAGATCAAGAGAGTTTCACGACGTGCCGCACCGTTCTGACGCACGTTGCCTCGCTAGCGCGCGCCTCGCTGATGGGAACATCTTCCCTTGCCCCAGCTGGGCACATCGTGCCTGGCACTGTCATCAACGGCGAAGATTGCGGCAAAGGGGCGGCAGGGCATGCTGTTGATCCCCACCCAGTGGACCCTAGTTACCACTATACAAGGAGCCAGGGTTTCTTGATCTATGGATTTAGTTTTGGAGCCTGGCTACCAGCTGCTGTGGTGACTGGTAACTGGATCCCCTAACCCCACGGTTGCGCCAATGATCCCTGCACTGCCCATGACCAAAAAGACGTTTCTCAGCAAGCCGTGATGAGGGTGCAAGCTTGCGCCGTGATCATCACGGCGCAAAAATCCTATGAGCGTCGTTCGTGAAACTGGAATCCAGAGGGCTGCCACGGCGTACATACAGCAGCCCCCATCCCTCTTCACACCGAAACAGTTCGTCTAAGGTAGCTGAGGGTTTTTGGCGTCCTCATTGTTGTCAAACTCTGCTTTCCCTAACCCCAACCTCCTCCTACCGAAATGCGCCCTTCACTTTTTCCCTTCATCGGTTGCCTTCACCGGTGCCGGTTTCGCGCGGCCAAAGCGGGAAGTCGACGATCCCCGCCAGGATGACCAATCTGTGCCGGAGCGCCGCAACTCTGGGATCGACTTCGCCTGCCCTCCCAAGGCGAGCGGCGATCCGAAGATCGCCGACGATGGGTGGGACCCAGTCTCGAAGTCCAAAAAGCACCTAGGGGCCGTATACATTCTATACCATGGTGATTTTATTACTGCGTCATGTTGTACAATTTGTGTTATATAAACATATACACTGGATAGCCCGACAGGAACACGCTTCCATGGTCTCTCTTTGATATTGACTGTATGCCTCTCCTTTGTCTGCGCCACCGGATTGTGCCAGCTGACGGACACACCGGTTGCTTCGATCGGTTGCCACAGCTGTTTCAGAACGATCTGCGGTGCTTATGTGACTTGAACTGGTACCAGCACCCTCCAACAGGTCACCTTGTTCGAGGGTTGTTGGGCCTTAACAGGTCACAATTTTGATGACCTCTTGGAGTCTGTTGGTATGCATGCTGGTAGTGACATGCAGTGACTGTAAAGATGGAAGGGAGGGAGGTTTGATGTTCCCTTGGCTTCTCCTTGCAGGAGTGTGTACATCACGCTTGCTGAAAGCATTGGAAGCTTGCAGTCGTTCTTTTCGTGGTGTACCGGGCTGGACTACTGTCCTGATACCCTAAATAAGTAAATATGTATATATATATATATGTGTGTGATATATTAAACATGACATGTTTATGCTCACAGAACACCAATATGTATATATAAGTGTGTGTGTATATACAAATGTATCTCCGTATTCCACGCACACGTATATGCCATACACAATTATATATGTCTGAAACCCTTGATGTTTTTTGGTCTTACGCTCTTGTTGCTCCCGCTTGTCATCTGGGAGAAAGCAGTTTTCACCAGGGGCGGACATGGTCAGGCCCCAATGCAAGCCTCCAATTATTGGAGCAGGTCCATATGCACAGTGGCCAGGGTTCGACTGCTCGGCGGAAAAGTATGTTTTTTGTTGCAAGGTCTGTAAAGCAATGTACAGCACAAGTTCACAAGCAAATGTCCACGTTCCTCAGTCTTCCCACCTGTCTCCGCACTGCCAGAATTGGAAGCAATGCAAATTTCATTTGTGCTTAGCTTGCACAACAGTTGTGGCTGGCAGCCTCGTCTTTTGGCGGCACGGCAGGGCGGGCTACCGGTTCCCCCGGCCGGGGAAGCCACACAGGGGTGAGCTTGCGCTCCGCGAACCGTGGGAAGAGGTCGGGCCTGGGAGTTGTTGGGTAGTTTAGTTTGTTTAACCCATACACTCCATGGGACTGGAATATATGCCTACATTGACCCCTCAAGCCACCCCCAATGTAGACATATAATATGGCAGTCCCATGGAGCGTTTGGGTAATGTCTGTGAAGAAATGAAATAAGAAAAAACGAGAACCACATCTTGCTGATGGTGGGGTGCGAACGGTATACGCAGTTTCCAGGCTTTTGAGGGCCAGACTTCCTTCGCCGACGACTCCGCAGGTGCAGATATGGACTCCCTAGACCATGGTCAACAAGGAGTTTTGATCTTAACCCTGCACAAAGAATAGAAAAAGGCGCATAAATCCACAACTTCATGACAACCGGAGTGGGAGCGGAGCTTCCCAAACCTCTGAGAGAAAGACGCGCAACAAAAGCACCGTGATCCGAAGCTGAGGTCAGTTTTACTATTGTGCTCTTCTTGAGCATGGTCACCCTGCGCGAAGACCAACAGTTGATCGAGAAGACTTGGGACGGCGAGCGGATCTCGTCCCTCGACAAAACGAAGCGGCGGATCTCCGGTCATGGCCTTCGCAACGTTGATCTGAGGTTTTTCTCTCGATGGTCTGGCTAGGTCCCTGAAAACCTAGCCCTACAGGTCAGTTTGACTTCGTTTTATTCAAGTTGGTCACGCAAAAACACTACTCACGGAGGCATTTCAAGGACCAGGCTTTACTCAGGTCTTGGAACTTGTGGGGTACGGATTGGTTCAACCCCAACGACCGCTCGAGAGACCGGCAAGAGACCCGCCGCCAAGAGACCCCAAACAATGTAGGACCGATTGGGCTCCAGAGGGAGGTGATGGTGGTGGTGATGGTGCTGACGGTGGCGGTGGTGATGATATTGAGTGTGGTGATGATCATGGTGGTGATGGCTGTGGTGGTGGTGACGATGGTGGTGCAGATGGTGGTCTTGGTGGTGGTGCTGGTGCTGGTGCTGGTGCTGGTGATGGTGGTGGTGCTACCTGTCTACCTGATGAATGAACGTGTGGGGCTGGCTTATGGCAAGGCCGTGGGACCTCACCGCTGGCTCTCGCACGTGAGCTACGCGATTACGCAACTGCTGAATACGGGAATGCATGCAGTACAGGCAACGGTCAAATCAAGAGATGCTGTTGGCGGATATGTAGCCCTACTTCGTGAACCCACTGTGCGGTATCCGAAGAATGAGCTCATCCTCAGGCAACTTGAGCAGCGGATTACAACGATGGAGAAGGAGCAAGCTGTTGCATTGTTGTGATCACAGACCCTGTTTCGCGAGACCCTGTCAGACCTGTCCGTGACAGTACACTGCGACCATATGCCGTGCGACCAGGCCACTCTCACGAGGACATCGGCCAAATCTTTGGGCCGTTTGTAGGCGGCCTCCGTAGGTCCAAAGAGGCCAGATGCGGCCAATCATTTGTGCTACTGCCAGGACCCACTACAAGGGCACCAACAGAGGTGATGTCATCGTGATGGTGCAGCTTCCAGACTATGAATCGACCTGGCGCTTGCCCCTCTCAGAGAAGAGGGCGCTCTATGCACATCACTGAGTCGCAGTTGGAGGATCTTGCCCTGATGGCGACGGCTCTGAAGCTGTGCGCCAACCGTCGAGTTCCAGACTTTGGTACCAAAGCACATTGCCTCCTACAAAATCTGCACTTCAGGTTCCACAAAATGCTGCACTTGCCATGAAATCTCCACAAAGTGCCGCGCTTGCCGCGAAGTGCTGAAATCCACAATGTCAAAGTCCACAAATTACATGCGCCTGCCACGAAATCTGCACCTCGGGGCCCACAAACTGCTACAAAATCTGCACTTCAAGACTGTCGCACTGGTGCGAAGGATGCTGGTACCATGGCGTCTCTTGTCATGAACAGCAGTGTCCTTACAAAGCTGCTTGTGCGCCGGGCTCAGGTGCTCACAAGTTTGAGGCTTGCCAAGTTTCTGCCAACACGGGAATCAATTCCGTGGTGGCTTCTATGTCTACACAAATGAGTCCAGTCCGATTGCTTGGAGATTGGCATGTGGCGCAGCTTCAAGGTCCACAGAGCACTGTGCCTGCCACGAAATCTGCACCTCAAGATTCACATCGCGCAGCCCTGCCAAGGCAATTCGCAGCAATGACAACATCAAGATGCCAAAATGCAGCTTTCGATCGAGACGTCCTCCGATTTCTGAAAACACGCCACACGTCCAAAAACAGAGCCAGCACACGCCGAAGACCACCACCATGTCCAAAGCATACTGCGCCCGCCACGAAATCTACACATCAACGTAAAGCCGCTTGCGTCACGAAAAATGGACCGCGAAAACACGAGGTTGCCCTTGCGTTTGCCGCGAAAAGTAGTGATCAAGAAGTCCCAAAATGTGCACGGCACCACAACAAGAGCACAGTCTCGAAGAGCACCCGCTCGGGCCCGCCAGATGCTGCGAGCCTGCGCAGTCGAAATGCACTTCGAAGATCTCGAGGTGAATGAGTGCAGCGTCGCAGCGAATTGGCCGGACACGCCGATGAACACCTCCGATTAGATACCCGTCCTTAACCACTACCGTGAGAACCCCTATTGACCACATTGTTTGGGGTAAACATTCCCCGGCCCTTGAAAACCTAGCCTACAGCTTAGCCAGACCCGTTCCCTACTCACGGAGGCACATCAAGGACCCCACCCAGGCCCCTGAACCTAGGCAGGAACCGGCTCAACCCCAACGACCGAGAAGAACACCGCAGCAACAAGCAAACAAAGCTGACTGGTGCGACTCGTAGGGAATTAGGCCCCCAATAGAGATTCCTTTGGATCCATTCCCTCAGTCCCTGCTAAGCACCAGTCAGAAAGAACACATTCTGTGCGGCACACCCCTGTCGATCACAAAGGATTCAGCCCCTGTCGAAGTCCTACTTTCGAATTTCAGACCCTACCCCGTGGATGACCTGGTCAACATCGTTTAAGCATCACCCATTTTTGACCGGTGGCCCTCTCCACTCAAACCCAACAGGTGTTCTTGCTTTCCTTCTCGTGGGCCGTGGGAACCTGGCTACCTGGTCGTTTCCGCTCTCGACGTGTATGGCTTGATGCGTTTGCGTTTCACTGTTTGGGAACTCTTTTTACGTCGTCTGACCCGAGAGTCAACGATGTGCTAACCACAACGGTTAGCTTGGGAGATTGCAACAGGTGGAAACTTGTCTCTTCGGCCGTGTTTTTTCTGATCGGCCACGGCGGAGTCAGAGACGAAAAACCACTATCCCTCTCCCTCTCCCTCTCTCTCTCTCTCTCTCTCTCTCTCTCTGTCACCTTGATGCAAACCTCTGGCCGAGGGACGGCCCTGGCGTGTACATCAGTTGGCCCGGCGGACGCCTGGGCGAGTACGTGCCCTGGCACCCACAAGCGTGTCGGAGCTAACGTGCGTTGGCGGTGCGTCGGTCAAACGACTCCGAGCCGGGGTTCCATGGAAGTGGATGATCAAGGTGTAAGTTTGTCCCATGAAAGAGATAGCAGGGTGCACAGTCCACAGTGCCCGACATAATGATGGAAGTGGATGGCCCACCCTCGATCGTAAAACAAAATCATCATCTTCCAAGTTTCCCAAGGGATCAATTCAAACCAATTCCCAGTTCCATGATGTGCTCTCTGAAAAATACAAGGGGTCCTTTGGTGGCACGCCTTTTTGGTGAGTTCGACAGCCATGTGAGACCCTCCAACGGGTCATTCTTTGGATTTACCCCTTGGGTCGTCCACCGTCGATTTGGAATAAGAATCAATTGATGTAATGGTTTGTGCCTAAAAGCCATGGTGACTGAGGATTTGAAACTGCAAAATCCAGATCACTGCTCTTTAATGGTTGAAAGAATGGCGACCAGGTGAAAGGCTGGGGTTCTCTTGAGCTGCGTTGTGGTGACTCTGACTTCGTTTAACTTAAGATCTGTCCCATGACTGTACCAGCAACAGTTGGTAAACGATCATCACTATTGTTGAAGAAGCCCCGTACTAACCCTCATCACCCACGGTTACTGGTAATGGGATAGGCCCAAATTTAACCTGTGAAGTCTTATTTACGACGTGTTCATTTAGGCAGTCCATTGGACACCCATTGGATGCTCCTGGTATGTCAAAAAAATCAGTAAATCAAACAATTGTTACTTTCACAAATCTTGACAAGGCCTTGAGTAGTCATCATCATCCACAGTTACTGGTCATGGGTTTGTTATAATTGATGCTTCATCATCAGAGGAACTTGAACGACCGTCGGCCGGACCGACCAGACCGGTCTTCACCAAGCCCCTTGACTACGGATTTGGGACTCCAAATGCCGTTCCCCATTGATTCGAAAGAGGGCGTCCAAACACGGCCGTCATGACTCCTTTTGCCCCCGACCCCCTCTTGGTGGAGTCCAAAATCCGGAGGGGGGCGGCATGCCCGCTGTGGAAAGATCGGCAAAGGTGATATATACCCGGGAAGACGCGTGAAATTGAAGCCTGATGGCATGCAGGTCGGACCTACAAGGAAGACTATAGATCGCTTCCTCCACGTTCACCAGTGGTTTTTGAGTTCTATGTTGGGCCTCTTCCAGGGAGTGCATCCCTCTCCCTCTATACTGTACAAGACATGTGCAATTGAGGATTTAACAATTGATTCACCACAATGTAGTAGCAAGTGGGTTCCTGGCTCAACATGTTAAACTGCGGTTGCTTGATGTGTCCTTTTCACTGGCTTTGGATGCTCTTCTGCTTGCAGTCAATCCCAGGAACAGCTACTAAGACCCTCCAACAGGTCGCCATTTGCGACTTACAAGTCTCCAAAAGACTCCAGGGGAGACCTGTTGCATGGTGCTGGTAGAAGTCCCCATTTGCGGGCCTTATGAATTAGGATGAATTAGGTAGGAGGCCATCTCTTCTAGGCTGGAGGCCATCACTATCAGTATTTGAAACCAAGAAAAATACAATAAAACATCTTGTTAATAAAAGGAAGCTAAGTTAGTAGGTTGGAGGCCATCTCAATTAGGATAGCATGCTTTAAAGAAAAGTACACGCTCCACATCAGCCTCCACCTTCGCCAGCGTCGCTCTCCCGCTCGCCGAGGTCATCCGGGAAGTCGATCGTTTGTCGCCCCTGGAGTACGCGGCACCTCGTCGGAGCGGAGCGATTCGCGGAGCCCCAAAAAAGAAAAAGGTGGATTCTTAGGGTAACTTGGGGCCCATGAACATGTCAGGGAGCTGCTGCAGCTTATCAATGAATTTACCTGAAAATTCTTAGGGTGTACCCTAAGGTATTCTTTTCCCGGCGTTCGTGGAGTATCACTGGCTCCTTTATGAGATAAGAGTAAAACTTATCTTAGGGTGGGTTTTGGTATGTTTTTATACGCCCATGAACATTTCAGGGAGTTCATCAATCATGTGATTGATGCCCTAAGGATCCGACCCTCCAAAAACCCAAGCGTTTGGTGAAGGGGACCCCAAAGCGTTTGGTGAGTTATAGAGGCTTCCACCCCTGAAGACACAGAGGGAGAACGAAACTGGGATCCTTATGGAACGACATGATGCATCCTTTTGGACCTGGTGGGTGTTGGTGGGTTCTTTGGACTGGTGAGTGGACCCTTGGCGCATGAGAGCGTGTGTTTTGCGAGCCTCGCAGGTTCTCACCCGCCCAGCAGTTAATAGTTGGGAGGTATGTTGAGGTGTGTGAATGTCCACCTGGGAGATTCTCCAAGCACTTGATCTGCAGAAAGCATCAGCGCATCAGCATGATGGTGATGTGGGAGGGTCCCACCTGGGTCACGGCCTTCGTTTGCCGCTCCTGGGCGGTGGTTTTCGATCTGTTCCTTTGAGATGATTGGTCCCACTGACTCATATTCTTCGTTCGTGAGTTGAAAGCGCCAACCATGCTTCGCACCACCTGCACGACCCAGGTGGTGAAGAACCGGCGGACGCAGGTGGTACGGCACCAGCTGGGGCCTGGGCTGCTCTTCATGCGGGCCTTTGAGGACTGATGTTGGGCCTTTGCCGTGGAAAGGGTTCCACGTGTCCCGATACCTGTTGGATGACATAGGGAGAAGGAATGAGAATAGTAATGAGAATGTATAGACTGTAAGGCCTTATGTGCAGTGGTCTCAGAGTTGAGGCCGCAAGCCCCAAGATGTCTTTCAGATGGGGGTCCAGGCAAACAACCTCTTGGGGATTGTGGCATGTACTCTCAATCCATGATTATGAAGTTTAAGATTGTTTAAGAAGGAATAGTGAAGTGCATGGTACATGATGTCTCCAAAATCCTTTCCAAACTCTTTAGTTATCACAACACTGGTGGCAGCAGAGTCACCTGCAGTGGTTTGGGAAAAGGTGGCTGGTCTGATTGCCAGACCCACCGTGGCCATCATGGTCATCGCATGATATAGACTCCGTAAGCCGCTTAGACTCTGGAGGCCGTTGCGAACTATGGTAGCCACTCTCATGCCAACACGTTATCCCTTTCTGGTCATGACACCTTCTGAAGTAGCCCTTGGGACTATAAAGAGCCAGCTCCGTCGCCACGAACAAGACAGCCGCCCATCTCCACCTCAGCCGTCCAATGGCACAGGACTTAGAGGAGATTCTACCTTTGCACCTGGGACCGAGGATGAGGATGACTTGCCTGATCCATTGCATGGCACCACCCTAAGGAATCCATATTAGGGATGGGCTTTGATGGTCTCTCCAACATGAGCAAACGAACCAGCAGGCCTCGAGCCCTCAGAAGACAGGAGTTTGGGGCCCCGACCTTTCCCGCTACCAAAAGGGGGCCCAGCTATAGGTCGACTCCGGACGCGAACCGGACGCTTGAGGGCGGGCGGGTCCGATGCGACGACGGGGGTTTCGGCGACGAAACACCAACAGAACGGCGGTGTCCAAAGCGCTGCAGCTTTGGGTGGTCGGATCGAAAAAATGGGCCGAACAAAGAGCCATAAAGGCCATGATCAAGGACTTCTTTCGAGAAGAACGGGCAACGGCGTTGGGAGAACTGGTGACCTTGCGAAATCGACTAAGGAAGAAGTTGCAGACACTTGGCGATGGTGCTGGTGCCGGCGGTCCGGTCGTGTGCGGTGGAACCGGTTTCCGTGTGTGGTGTGGCGTCAAGCGCCCGAGGCAGGCGGTTTTGTAGGTATCGATCGGGGAAGATCAAATGAGTGAAGAAGATCAATTGATTTGTTAATCTTAATGCTTACCCTTGAGACCTTGAGATGCTTCCTGAATGCTTACCTTATTTTGATGCTTCCTCAATGCCGAAGAAAGACCTTGAGACCTGGAAAACGACCGTCACCAGGACGACGCACGGACGTGTCACGGGCCATGTTTTTCCTCATGGACCGACGATCTGCGACGAAGCAACTCCCAAGAATTTGCATGGATCCTGGACAATGGATGAACACAGACTCACAGACTCATGCAACTTCTTGTGCTGTGTGTTTTTTCAAGTGGCAAGGGCCTTTAACGTCACTTTACATCTATTGAAAGGGGGCCCGGATCAGAAGGCGATGTTTCAGGGAGAGGACCTCCACCTCAATTCTTGCGGGGTGACCTGAAGGGGGCCGGACAGGTGCGAAAATTGATGAATCCGCTCTCAACAGCTCGAGGCTATGAAGACCCCACACCAGTGTTCCGGATGGCCAACGCGGGCGGGTGTGCAAAGAAAGGACCCCAACTTGGGAAGGTCAAGCTGATATCCAGCTGGACTCCAATGGGCTCCTGGCCAATTTCTCCGGAGGAACACATGGATCGAAAGGGGTTCATTGGACTTCGCTCCAAATTGGCCATCTCCCCGTCACAGTTTCTTGCGCCCGCGCCCGCCGTGCCAGAAGAGTTATAACAGACGATGCGTGTCAATCTCCTATGGCACCAATGGACTTGCTACCTCACCCCTGGCACTATGGATGGTGACCGGATGACTATCATCCAGTTTTTGAGGGCTGGTACGACATTTTCGCGCAGGTCAACTGGCCGTAGCTCATGTGAAAAACGCACGCCTGGGTTCTTCGGGATTCGGACTCTTTCGTCTCATGCTGGACGACCCGAGGGCGTTGGCCATGGGTTTTGGACGACCTTTGGTTCTGTGAAGCCCAAAAAGCCCTGGGGTTGGCAGTTGGTTACACACCCACAGAGTGGCTGGGCATCCTTTGGGATGAAGCTCTCGAGTCGGAGATCATTAGGCTCTTAACTGAAGAGCAAAATCAATGAATGAAAGTAGTTGGTCAGCATGTTTGATCCTGCACTCTAAAAGCCTTATTAGCGCTTTTCTACCTCTCTATAGAATTGAAGGAACGCCGAATGCTGACACCTCCATGAGCGTCTAAACCACTAGCATTAGAAATAAAATGGTGCTGTCGTGTGTATAGATGGGCTTCTTAAATATTTCTACAATTGATCGATTTATCTCATGCAAGATGCCGTTTGCTCACAAAACATCCCCAACGTTCCACTCCCACTCCGCCCGCTCCCAGGCTGACACAGTACCACCGGCTCATCGATGAACTGGTGGGCGATGAGCGCATCGCCACTGGGACGACAGTGGATCCCACACTTCGCCCCCTGTGTGTGTGTGTGTTCGGGAGTCAGTTTTGGAGGAGCTCACTTCCCTCCAGCACCCATGCCAGGGTTGTTTGGATGGCAAAGACCTGGTCAGGCGTCAAAAAAGACCACCCGAACTGGGTGGTCCTGGATTCGAATCAATGTATGACCAATGAATGGGGTATTTTTCACTCTCGGTGCCCCAGATCTGGAGCCCAATCGAAAAGTACTGAGAGGTCCCAAATCACGTGTTTGGGGTTCGGTTTCTCGCGAATCCCTAAGTGTTCAGGGGCCATGCAGTCGGGTTGTGAACGGATTTGGGCGACTAGGTTCATCATCCTGCCGCGGATCGTTTGTGTGGGCTCTTCAATGCCCTTTGATTCCTTAGGAGCTATCACCCTCCCTACCAGGGGTAAGTCCTTTGCCTCAGTGTTCAACCATCGCCACTGGTGCGGATGCACTTCGAGCCTTCGAGGTGCGCGGTCCCACAGCCTATGCTCCAGAGCCTCTAGAGAAGATTGCACCTTGGAGTTGGAAGGACCCGGTGTCACCGGATGCGATGTGGGGTTTTCTCATTTCAGCGCCGATTCAGCGCGTGGTCGCTGGATGGACAATGCGTTGCCAGGGCGGTCTATAAACGATCATTATATGTTTGCAAATGGAATGTGTGTGTGTGTGTCTTGCTTTGTTTGCTCCACAAGGGCCCGAAAAAGTATTGTTTGTGTGTAATGTCTAGCGTTCGGCAGCTTTTGATGTGGACCCGGGTCTTCACAGAGCTTGGGTCGATCTACACCAAAAGCAATTTAGCCAGCCAAAAGTGTACTATCTACAATTTGGGACAAACAAAGGGCTACAAGACTCCCATACAGCATCCTAGACCTTGGGCGGGCCCTATGGGAGTCATCCATTTAAGGTCTTAAGTCTTTTGTGTTTCACTGCCGAACCGGTCTCGGGGCGACCCGGTCGACGCGACCCGGTCGACCCGACTCTGGGGTTTGGTGTCTCGGAGGGGCCTTGGGGTCTCAATGTTCGCTTTAAGGGCACCAAAGTGCGTTTGGGGGTCTGAAATTGCCGGTTGGACCCGGGACCACTCGGGCGGGCACGAAGCGGGGCTGGGTGTTTCGGTGCTTTTCGAACGGGCGCAGCAGTGAGCCCTTCGTCGATGAAGGCGCAACAGTGGTGTTGGAAAAGCCGCTCGTTGGTGCAGGACGAGGGCGAGAGCCACTTGGCACTTTTTCGACGATTCTGTGTCGCAGGAGGCACTTTAAGAAAATTGAAGAAACATTGGAATGAGATTAACTCTGTGCCCAAAACTGTTTACATTTTTTTACTTGGGTCAGTCCAAGGTGCTGGGCTGGGCTGCCAGAATTGAATCAATCTTTTGAGCTACGACCCCAAAGGCTCCAAATGGATGGTTTGTGTGGGGGTTACGTTACAGCATGATACTACATCCTTTGGTCTCATATCAGCATGCCACTTGCTCGTGTGTACAGTCTACCGGCCTACACCCACTCTGTTGGTGCGGCTCCAGTATCAGAGATCATTTTGCTTCAGGTGATTTTCTCTGTGGGTAAATCCCCTTCTGGTGATGTTTTTCTTTTTGCTAGGTTCCTCAAGCAAATCCAAGAACACCAGATCAAATCTTTGCTTGTGGAGCTCGCCACGCTGGTGGAGGGAACTGGGGGGGAGGGTCTGGTCCTGGAGCGATCTCCGATGGGCAAACGGCAGGTTTGGGTGAAGATGCCAATGTCGCCACGCTGGAGAACTGCAAGTTGAAGTGCGAAGGCACCTTGGACATCCACGCCTGGTCCTGGGTGTAATACGGGGCGCGGGGAGTCCTTCATGAGCGCATGTGGGTCAGGTCGAGTGAGTGGTTAATCAATCTGCAGTAGGGCAGCCTCCCTCCGACCATCATCGAAGCGGACACCAGATGACAATAGTCCTTTGGAAGACCCTTTTTCTTCGACAAGTTGCTTTTTTTGACAAATCCATGTCCATGTTTCTTTGGGGAGGGGTAGCTACCTTCGTAGCCCACATGCGCACCATCCTCCGACCGGGAGTGCTACCAGTCCGGCCCATTAGCGTCGTGTCGCGTCGGGCCGCGCACCGGGGGGCGTAGCTGGTCCGCCGAGCTGGGGGGTTTGAGTCACCTCCAGGTGGAGTGGATGGGTTTTGAGTCGCCCCGACGTTCCTCCAAGTTGCAGCTCCGAGCGATGGAACTGGAGGCAAATCCAAGGTCTTTTTGGAGCTCCTTCCGCCACACGCCAACAGCAGGCACCTGCCTTTTGTTTCCTTTTTCGGGTGAATGGCTGAGGCCTCCAAGGCTGCCAGAGCTTCACCACATGCCAGCAGCAAGGGACGACGAGCCTTGGCCGAGGTGAGTCGGGCCTTGGCACCGTGCGCTCGGAGAACCTCTTTGGACGACGAGTTCGCTGTCCGGCGGGGTGAAGGACGGACGGTTGTGGTGTTCAGTATGGGACGTAAACCACGATCGGTGCGAGAGCACGGTGCAACTACTGTAGCGCGCCCTAAACAATTGACTGGCTTCACGCCGTGGTGTTTTTGCGTGATGGAGGGGTGCAGTTCATTGGGTTCAGCAGTGCCCATGATCCAAAGAGTCTTAAGAGTGATAGCTCACCCACCGCAAAACAAATTCGGACCACATAGCCACCGTGCTAAGATGTGTGGAGGAGTTGCGAAGGTCCCAACGCTTAGCCAGAATCCTGGCCCGATTGCACTGGCAGCACGCTGGCTCAATTCGGATGGTCCGGTTCCCAAGTTCGCGTGGGTGCCTTACTACGGCTGATGACTCTGTTAAGAAAGACGCTTTTTTAGAGTAGACTCTAGATTATTTCTTAACTATAAGCTTTTAATTAAGAAATGTGGCTAGCAGGTAGACTCTAAATAAGGTTTCTTATTCTATTTTCTCTCCCTCGAGCTCTAAATCGCTCAACCGCATCGCTATGCGCATGGTCTTCGACTTCTTCGACCCGTATCCCCGGATGTTGTATAATGTTCTATCATGGTATAATGCTCAAGAATCTGAGATGAGGGGAGGGAGGGAGGGAGGGAAGCTCAAAGTTGAAGGCTGCGATGGGACTTCTAAAGAGTTTAAGACCAGTTTCAGACCACCCGAGAGGACAGGTTGGGGACAGTTTTTTGTGAAGCAGATTTAAACAAAGTGAAGCTTTTGCTCTACGTACGTATCGTGGAAAGGGGTCATAGATGATGTCAAGTTTGTCATTTTACACCTGCACCCTGGAGACCCAAGGGTCATTGTCTAGAAGCGGATGTTTGATCGCAAGATTAAATAATGCGGCCACGTATCTCACTTACAGACCCCACATGGAATGACGCGGCACAAGGGATAATGAAGGCTCGCTTTTAATTCGGTACCATTATGGTCGTAATTCGGTGCGTCCAATAGTACCTAATTGCGGCCGTGGTGGTACCGAATTAAAAGCTCCTCTTCATGCATCCACTCCATGTTCTCCAATAGCTTCCGATGACCATCAGTGACCATATCACTTTTGCAGCTCCACATGCTTTTTGTGCTGACGGTTCGGAACTTCAGGTTTTTGAACCAAAAATGTAAGTTGTGAACCTTTTTGGAAGCAAAGTGGCACCACGGATGTTGTATAATGTTCTATCATGGTACAATGCTCAAGAATGTGAGATGAGGGGAGGGAGGGAGGGAGGCTCAAAGTTGAAGGCTGCCATGGGACTTCTAAAGGGTTTCAGACCAGTTTCAGACCACCCGAGAGGACAGGTTGGGGACAGTTTTTTGAAACAGATTTAAGCAAACTGAAGCTTTTGCTCTACGCACGTATCATGGAAAGGGGTCATAGATGATGTCAAGTTTGTCATTAAGGGGGCGCGCTCTTTCTCTTTCTTTCTCTCTCTCTCTCTGTTTCTTTCTCTTTGTGGCAGGGCCCTTCAAATTAGAACTTAATACGTATTTAAAAGAATGCGTTTTTTTGACAAAAATAGAGTCTAGAAATAACTTATTTTTCCGAAAAAATAGAGTCTACTTTCTTGTTTAAGAATATTTCTTAACACAGATAGAAGCCGTAGTAGTAACAAGGTTCGCTACTAGGAACAAGTGCATCGCTTCTAGTAACAAGTGCCTTACTAGTAGTAACAAGAAGCTAGTAGGGGCTCCTGGCATCGCTACTAGGAGCAAGGTTGGTTCTTTAGGCCAGTCAAGGGAGGAGGAACCGACGTCAAACAGGTGTTTTCGCTTTGCTTGTGAGGGATATTCACTGGCATACAGTGCACAGTACACGTGACGATGCCAAAAACGGCTGCGGTTTTCCCATGTCAAACTCACATGACGTGGCATGTTCTCACGGATTTCGGCGGTGGATGCAGTGCTTCTCCGAAGTCCCTAGGACGTGCCACTACAAGGACAAGTGGACCAACGAGCATTTTCCTGCAGCCACCACCTCGAGGACCTCGACGTCCACCACCACCACCACCTCCACCTCCACCTCCACCAGCTCCACGTCCACTTCAAGCACCTGGACCTCTGCTGTGACCTGGCCCCTCTTGGCGTGAGGAAAGGAAGGAATGAGGGTGGCCGGATCCTCTGGAAATTTGTAGTGTTTGCTGTTTCGGGTCATTTCTCTCCCCTAGGGCTCCAACCATATCCGCAGAAGGGTGTTGGGCGCCGGAGGGAGGAGGAGGGGAACCACGCGGAGGAGCCCCAGGGCGTGTTCCCTTCATTTTCCTCCCAAGCACCCCCGACGTTTGTTACCACTATCAGCTATTGAGCTTTCAGAACTCAACCAGGACCCTCTATCGCTTCCTCGCGTTTCGTTCCGAAGGCCGGGGGTTCTTGTTCGTCACCAGGATCGGATGAGAAAAGGGGTGTTCCTGAGACTTCACCTCCACGGGCCCCCCCCTGCGGTAGGAGCAAGGACGCTACGAACGGGGCTCCTGGCCGTACTACTAGTAACAAGCTATTAGAAACAAGAAATAGAATTAAAATAGATTTCAATCGATTTTCAACCTACCAGCACCCGACTTCACAGGTCTCCTTGGGAGGGTTGTTAGCCTCTAACAGGTTGCAATTGGTGACCTGTTGGGCGTCTGGGTATATACATTTGCCGCTGCACTTGATACTTGAAAGAAGCCATGATTACATGGAGGATCATGGATGGAAAAGGGTCCCCTTTTGTTCGGGTTTACAATGGTTCAATCCTGTTCGCCAGTTGTCTGGTGGTCTTCACTCTTCATTCCCATGATTTGCTGGGAATGTGTGCCATTTGCAAACCGGATCAGGTTATGTTAGAAAAAACTTCCTGGTTCCTGGACAGCAAATCGCTGGGTCTTGCTTGGGAACTGTTGCTCTCCGCCTGAGGTCAACGGGTCGAATGCGACCAGCACGACGGCGAGCGCGAGTCCGGTCGAGGATTCATCGTCCAACGTCGCAGACTCAGTCGACTGAGTGGCCAAGGGTTGGCTCAGTTCCCAGAGTTGATGGTTGTGGAGCGGGAGGTGAAAATGGTGAAATTGCACCTTTGCCCTTAGATTTCTCCCGAAAACAAGATCTTTCAACCAATTCTGACGGTCTGGGGTCAGTCAAAGGCCTCCTTTTCGGGTGAACCATGGACTTTGTTGTGGCAATGCTATGTGAATGAATGGCACTAAGACAAGCTACTCAATGTTCTTTTTCCATGGTAGCTCATCCAGGACCATCCCATACGTGGGGGACTAGGACTACCCGGCCCACTACTATCCGAGATGTCCAGCCAGACACCCAGGTCCGGGGCCGCTCCAGATAGGATTGTCCATTATAGACACCTGCACACAATGTCTGCGCATTTGTGTGAGTCTCCACCCAATGGAGGTTATGGCTACACCGCACCCCCTACCGTGATGTATGCATCCTCTTGGGTTTGCTCCACTCGCTGAGTGTCCTCACCGACTCACTAATGAGAGACTCTCCGAGATTTCCACGAGTCAGGGGACAGATCAAACCACCACCATGACAGGTGTGGCTGTGACATGCTGTCGCTATAGTGTGTGTGTGTGTGTCGCGTTTGACCATGTTTGACATTGTTTGACCCGTCGCAGTCGATCAAAGAGAATCACTATGTTTAGATATTTTTAGGATGTCGGCCTGCAAGTGAACGATCATCATCCACACAGAATGGGATGAGAATGGGATACACACAAGCTGTGACAATTTGAAGGAATGCCCAGAAGAGCGGTCCCAAAAGCAAAGCTTGGAACGGTTCATGGGTTCATTTTCAGTTTCAGCAGACCAAATAGAAAAGAATACACATGCTCCAATCTGGCGGTTCCGGACATCTATACTTGGCAAAGGAATTTTGGAATACATTTGGCAATATTCTCCTATTGTGGACACGCCAACCTTTTCGAAGAACGTGTTGTCGTTGGACAAGTCATCCTTGTTTCACTGGTTTCGTTGCTCCGTTTGCTGAGGAAACATCCACTCTCACTTCCACAGTGTTCAGCAACGCCACCACCACAACTATGATTGACCTTCCAGAGAACGTTTCTGAGAATGTCTCCTCGTACGCTTCTCTCTTGCACCGAAGACTGACTGGCGATCGGACCGGTCGTGGTCGCGACCACCGGGGAGAACGACCGTTGAGGCCGTTTTCAGGCCGTCGAGGAGTGTGGGAGGGCCCCCTTTTTGGCCTACCCAGTAAACATGAAGAGGTGGAAAGTTCCTGTTAAGCTGACGTTTTTCAGGAAAGCTGATGGAACTCGTCTATCCAGCAAAAATGCGCATCAGATTGCTGGGAAAGATCCATTCCTGGTTGTTCGTCCGTCGTTTGTTTCGTTCGTGTGTCACGGAACTTGTTTGTCGGGAAAAAGGGCAGGCCAAGTGGGATCACCTTGAAAGCCTTGAGCCGCTGAGCCGATGCGGTTCCCCACTACCATGGAACAAAAGGACCAGCGGTTGCATGGAGGTGGGGTGCCATCCATGGAGGGTGCCGTCAGGGCGTCAACATCAGATCCACAGCCCCTGGATGGGACGAGCCAGGAACGCACCCAACTCCAGACCTCTTGGCGACTCGAAAACGGCAGGGACCAACTGACATTGTCGGCTCCAGCAGTCAAAAAGGGTTCAGCCCAGGGGGGAGCACCTCCTGAAGAGACCGCCGCAAGAAAAGCGGATCTTTGTAGCTCAAGATTGAGTGGCCAAGCGACCGCGACGATCGGATGGTTTCCAGGATACCATTTTTCTTGTTGAGCAATCTATATAGTCCATCGATCAGGGCGGATGGACGCCACTCCCTATGGATCCACATACCGAACCTGAGGCACAGTGAAGAAGGAGACTGATGTATAGGCGCCAGGAGGGCCTAGTCATACCTTCTAAGAAGGTATGTGGATTCATAGGCCCTAGAAGTCCAAAGACTATTTTTGGAACCACCCAAGTAAAGGGAAGTTCCTTTTTCCCGGATCACCTAAAGACCATTTTAAAAGGATGGTCTTAGACTCCCAGTGGTCTTAGACTCCCTTCAATTCGTCATGCCGCCGCCGACGCCTCGGCCCCCCGCCTCGGCTTCCGAGAACACCTCGGACCGACGCCTGGCCGAAGCCTGGCGCATCGAGGAGTCCGCGAGGGGAGAGCGCGGACGTGCGGGCCCACCGTTGAACTGGTCTACACTGGTTTTTACCGAGCAACTTAGTGAGCTTTGTTTTTATAACCAAGTACGGTTTCTCAACATGAGAAACCGAGTTTTTCTCTGAACAACTGGCTTTTCGTCGTCTTATAAGCCAAAAACACGTGTTTTCGGATCAAGATCGTCGTTTTCCTAGGGTTTGCTTGCTGGAACACGGGCTTGAACACCACCAAACCCGCTCCTTCCCGGTGTCGGCGGGTGGACCAGTTGAAGGAGCTGCGATCGCTCGGGAGGGAGCAGCGATCGCCCCAAAGCGTCACGGGAGCCACTCGGGTCGCGAGCAAAGGGCTCTTGCCCTCCACTAGAGTTGGAGTGGTTGCAAAACAGCCATAGGGCAGCTACCCCCACAAACCATCAAGATTGGTTTTTTTCCTAGCCAAAAACATTGGCTTTTGTAGGTGAACACCTTTATTTGGGGGGCCACTGGGTAGGTTTCATGGCTGGATGTCCCAGTCCCGAGTGTTCATTGGGCGATTCTCTTCGCACCGCAGATTCGGCCGATTCGGATGATGGAAAATGGGTCCTGTAGGACGCCCAGATAGCCCTGGCATGGGCCCATTGGATGGCCGATGCATGGATTTGGGGGTGCAAAAGCAGAGGTCCAGGTAGGCCCCAATTCCAGTGTCCGTTCCAGTCTTCAGGGAGCGCTTGGAGCAGAGCCTTAACGCAAGAAGTCTTGATCTCGAGATGTTTTGAGGGGCCACAGGCCCTTGTTCTGGGTTCTGGGGCTGCCAAGAATGACCAACGGTCACAGCCCACCCGCAGCAGCGCCGATGCTTTGGACGGGAAATCTCCCGCCATCAAGCTCCCAGCCCAAGCTCTCCCGGCATGGCCCGGCAGGGATCAACTGCTTCTTGGAGCCGCTGAATTGCAGACACCACCATGGAATGAGCTCCACAGGTGTGATGCAACATGTCAACCGCCAGTTTGGCACCGCCCTTTGCTTGGTCAAGAACGTGTCATCAAGCGAAGTAGAGCCATTCAAAGGACCTCTCAGTTACTAAACCCACCCAAGTCCCACCTTCTCAGAAGACACTTGGAGCCCTAGGGGGTTGTAAGTCCAGGAACCCTTGTGACCGACTTGTCGTGAAGGTTCAGTTCGCCAAGGCGTCTGAGAAATGGGTGTCTGGTGACCCTAAACTAGGTCAAAATCAGTCAAAACCTCACCCTAAACTAGGTCACAAAGTGCAATTTGCCGTGGAGAGAGAAACCCTCACGCCAGTCCAGTTTCAAGGGTGATGTGGGTGAAAACATGCAAAATCCTGCTGCTGCACTTGCCCCGCTTAGTCGACTCTTATGAACCCTGAAGAGCAGAGTCTCTTGTAGAGGAAAATGCCCAGCAAAACCAAAACCGACTCGGGTCCATGTCAGAGTTCGGGAGTGTACCTCTAGAAGAATCGTTCCCTTAACACGGTGGTCACCGGGCACCCGGCTTTGGAAGCGCTGGAGGACTGCCAAACGGTCTTCATGGAGCCGTGCTCGGAGGAGACCGGGTGAAACAGCGGCTCTGCGCGCCCGGCGATGAGGATGACCGTTGATGGTTTGGGGCCTGGTCGCCCAACATGAGGGGTGCAAAAAAATAATATATATATATATATACCTAGAGCCTGAGTGACCTCTATTTTGGAGGATCAACTATCCCAAATAAGGTCCTTTCCTATGAAAACAGAGGTCACTCAGCTTCTAGGTATATATATATATATCCATTATGTTTTGGGGGAGGGTGGTGGTGAATCAACTTAAGACTTGGCACGTTTGTTCACTACTGAGTGGTCTAGACTTGAGACCATGCGTGGCAAACGAACCAGTGGTGAATTCGCTAACCAGCAAGCCGTGAAACATGCAGCGAAGCATGTGCAAAAGGTGATGACGTCGACGGATCTCCATTGAACGAACCAGTTCTGCCGTTACCTGGATACGAGTGTGCATCCAAATCTGCAGACCACCAACCATTGGGTTTGAGTCCATTCTCCTTCGACTGGGGGGTGCTCCCTATTGTAATACACCATCACGCATCATACGCCCAAAACTGAAGCCATGATGACGTAGATGACGTAGATGATATGCCACCCCTCCTTCAGGGATGTCACATGCAAGGTGTGGAGCCCCAGCCGACCTTGTGCCGCTCCATGTGAGTCTGGTTTGGGGAGTAGTTCTTGGGCACAACAGAAAATCCTGAACCCAACATGTGGGTGAACAAGCAGTTCACATCCCCTGCAACATTGACTTCTTTTGTGGGTTTGTTGCCTCGTGTCATTGTTGAATATTCCTGGGCATGGCTCTTAGTAAGAGGGCTCCTTAAAGAAAAAACGTGGCGGGTGATAGACCTGTGTGCAGAAAATCAATTGTTTGACAGCTCCAGGCCCCCCATGAGGGCGCCTTTCCTTAAAAACGACACACTCCGGGAACACATCCCCTGTTTGTAGAGGAGAACAGTCATCCAACGGGCTGTGCCATCCACTGCCACGAGTACCTCAGGGGGTGTACCTTGGTTTGTCACGTCCATCACACGGATCAGTCCAGTGACAACAGGACCTTCCAGAGGAGGCCGTGATGATCAACGTGCCTTGGCGCAAAAGAAGTTGGCATCAAGCATGATCACCTGGTCTTGCAAATAGGGCCATGTTTTCGATGTTTGGCTTTTTTCTTAGTAAGTGGGCATCCTGTGGGCGCCAGATGCTTCAATCCATGGCGATGTCGTGGAGTGCATCACACGCGCGTTGCGGGTCGCACCGTGGCATGTGCTGCGCATGGGCTGCGCGGCCCACGCGGAATCTGGTCAGGTCTTTTGGGGCATGATTGTGGAGAACAAATCGTCAGGCGGGACGGGCACGAGTCGTGACTTCGACTCGTAGAGAATGTGGGAATGGAATGGATCCTAAGGTATCTATAGTGGAGGGTCAGTGATGCATTCCCTTCTTAAAATCAACAGTCAGATGAATCCAGAGGTATTCACCTTGGTTTACCTCAGTGCTCGGCTGCTGGACTGTAGAGGTTTGTGCTAAGTGGTTCTGCTTAGGTCAACCGGTCGAGCGGAAACATTGAAATTTAGAACAGCTTTTGAGCACGGAGGACATCCAATTGAGATCAAGGAAAACAGAACGCTGACTTTTAGCTTCTAAGATCAACCTGTAATTCCTTTCCCCATCTTCATCCTTGAATGCGCCAGAAACCGTGCTCTCTCATCAGTTTCGTTGTTAGCTGGGGACTCGCCTGGCAGGTGCATGCAAGAGGTCAAATTCGTGTTCTGCCATGCTTTCTTGTCCTGATACATAACCCCAAAAATCCCTGGGGGCGAACCCACCATTTTCTGGGCCTTCTCATGTCAAGCAGCATTTTTGCCGAAGGGTCTGCTGAAGAAAACTCTGAAGCACCAAACACTGCCGCCAAAGATTCTGCATGAGAAGCACCTCCAACTACACCGTGCACCACACGTAGTACCACACGTTCACCGTGCACGTGACGGGACAACAGGAACAGATTGAAAGTCCCGTTCCGTCACCCCAATTCGATGAAAGGTTGGACCGCAACAAGTGATGCCCCAATTGACTGAAGGCCAAACGCACAAAGCAGCGCAAGGTCCCATTAATGGAGACAGTGCCAAAGCTGATCTTCTTGGATCTGGGATGAAAGACATCCATCTCAAAACAGCAATGTTTCAAAGAACTATTTAAGAACTATTTATTCCCTGGGGAGCCAACAACCATTTGCGGTCCTTACCAAAGAAACATTGCTTTACTAAAGATTCTAGACTACCAAATCCAGGTCGGCTCGACTGGACTTCGTCCAACTGCTTCGCGGAGCCCGCGGTTCGTTTTTGTGCGGACGTGGGTGCACAACAGACACTCTGCATGTGGGTGCACCGGACACTTGCGATGGATCGAGTGCTTGGGAAGATTGATCTCGCATTCCCTTTAAAGCCCCTGGCTAGGTAGTTGGAGCCCAAATGGACTTGTTTCTTGTGTCGCTGGCTCTGGGATCTTCCAGGCCCAGTGCCCCAACCAGATCCTCAGAAGGCTCTTAGACCCCCGCCTGGCACCCACCCTAAAGGTACTTGGAGCCCAAACGGGTCTAGCTGTTTCCAACGTGTCGCTGGCTCCCCCTCTCCGGGTCGCTGGCTCCCGACCCCAGGCCTCCTGCGCTTGGTGAAGACCCCGGGGCTTTTCTTCCCGGAGGCTTACGAGGTGCGTCCGCGGTCCGGTTCGGCGGAAGCGCAGAGCTCTGCAACCAACCCGGTCGGGACGGGGGGAGGGGGAAGGACGCTCCAAACCAAATACAGAGCCACAACAACATGTGAAAGGCACCTTAGAATTGCGGAATCTTGAAGAATATATCACCTTCCCATTGGATTCGAAAACCTCTTGAGATGAAACAGCTTCTATTGATCAATGGTCTACATTCGTTGGTGGGGATGGTGGCTGTTCTTGATTGGATCTTTGGATCAGATTTGAGGTTCGGTGTCGATCTTGGACTGCCACTGCCGGTTCTGAGGCCTGGTCGTTTTAAGGTTTTTGGATCTGGAGGTGTCCATGTTCTGCTGGAAAAAGGGGTGCCATCTGGAGCTACGAGAGTGCTTGCAGCTCCACCCATTGTAGACCCTCAAGGCGATTGGAATCACATGGTCGGTTCGAAAAGTAAACTACCACGAATCATATCTATTGACCGTGACGGTCATAGATCTATTGACCGTGCCCTTGACCGCAAGATCCGGTGTCATAGCTGGTTGTTGACCGTGACGGCTTGTGGATCGCACCTACCAGCTATTACCGCTCATGGATGTCGGATGAAGTGATTATTTTTAGGGCCGCGAAGGGGGTAGCGTGAGTGTGTGTCCTTGATAAGCTTGGGGAAAAAAAAGAACTCAATTCCCCCATCATCCCCATCCTTAGGTATAAATCAAGAGCTGGCTGGTGGTTTTCCAAACACGTCCCAATGGTCTACAAATTGTTGGAGGTGGGTTGAACCTGACCCCCCAAAAAAAAGGACAAACGCCACCGCTTTCGATGAAGCCATCGTGTATCATCCCGAGGTTTTGAGGGAGTGGCGTCCAGCCAAGCTCATCGATGAGCTCTCATACGCTGCCATCAAAGATACCTTGCACCTTGGTGACTCAAGGGACGCCTCGGCCGAGCCCCGAGCGCTGGCGAGGATGGCGAGGATGGTGGTGGTGCACTCATGCGGTTTGGTTTTCGTGTGGTTTTTGTGCCATTTGTTGTTTGCATGTGTTTTGAGATAGGCATGGTTTGGTGACGCAGCGGCTCTCGCTGCTCTTCATCCGGTCAAAATCCGTGTTTGAGATGTTTTGAGGTTTCTTACACGGGAGTGGCAAACCCTTAGCTTGGTATTCAGACCATGCTTTTCCATGGGGCCATGTTCCACTTCCATGTTAGTTCGTGTTTTCAGATTCAGAGGACATGTCTGGAGAAAAAAAAACCTCCCAAGTCGGACCCCTAAGTCGACCTCGTATTCAGCTTGATGAAAAACCATCCCCCATCCTCCTTGCAGTTCTTCCACGCTGTTTGGATCATTGGCTGCGGCTTTTTCTTCTCCGGCTTTGGAGACCGGGCCCGGTCCTGCCGGACCGGTGCAGTGCAGGTTTCACAGGAGGTGAAACAGGAGTGCCAGTGGATCCCTTGCAGGAAACAGGGGCCCTTCGGTCGGTCTATGGTCCACTGGAGCCACTGGAACTCCCAGCTTTGTCGTCGCCAATCCAGTGGCTTGCGATGCCCTGGGGATGCCATCCGAGTAGAGCAGAAATGAGAGAATACAACAACAAACACCCGTCTCACTTGGGCCTTCTTCTTGCTGTACCAGCAAGAAGGCTATCCACGCGAGTTCGGGCTACCCCCCTCCACATGGCTCTTGAGGGAAGCGCACTCAAACCATCTCAAACCGAAAGAATCGTGGGGTTGATGTGGCCAAGTTTGCCCGAAAGTTTGAAGACATCCGAAGATCCAAACACTGGAAAACCATGATGATTGCTACTGGGGAGTGTAACTACCAGGATTGGAGCTTTTTGGCCAGATGCCGTTCTTCAGAACTGGACCAAGCCACATAAGATGAATCTGCTCCTAGGATTGCTTGTTGGTTAGGTATGTAGGCCAACCACGGGGGGGCACGAAGTCGTGTGCAAGACTGGCTACTGGGGTGCAGGAGCATGGACTGATTGGGCCAGACCGATGGTCGCTTTGAAGACCTTGGTCCATCTCCTGTTGTATATCCAACAGATAGGGTTTTGAGGGCCCGGACCCCTGCTATGGAGGGTCCGACCTGCCATGGAGAGCCCAAGGATTCTTAGGGATATATATACAGGTCACCTATGGGGGGGCAAAGCTGGCACAGATTCCGAAGAATCGGACCTAAGGGATGAAAAGAGCATAAATAAGGCTCTCCATGCCAGGGGTCGCCCGAACCCAACCCTCTCAAAACCCTGATGATGTGTTGCGAACCGGGCCCAACGCTTCGGGTCCCAACGCTTCCGACCTTCGGAGCCGACGTCCGCACGGTCCCGGGGACGGTCTGCCCAGGACGGGCGAGATCACGGTCCGCCCGGGGCCGACGCTGGTGATGCTCGAGGCCTACGAGCTACTTGGGACGGACGTGGGACGGTGGCGGTTCCCAAGCAGGAGCAGGCGGTCTGACAGGAGCAGGACGTGGGGTCTGACCACTGGAGCAGTCAGACCTCGGGTTGACACTGGAGTTGATGTTAGACCCGGAGTTGTACCACTCTTGGTTGAGTGAGGGGCATCTCAAAAGGTCTGTCCACTGAAGCTCAAAATGTTGGTTGGAGGGGGGAGTTGGGCTAATCAGATCCATCATGATCCATTTGTTTGTGTTGGTTGGCACTGACGATTCTTACCTCAGCGGCTCAACAGAACTTTGTTTCTGAGGTTGTGTTTGGTGAACTGCGGCAGAGGCCCAGACAAACTGTCAGACCATCATCATCGTCGTCGTCATCGTCATCATTTGCATTAAGTCTGGAGTAAATCCTCCAGTCCATGGTGATTCTCAAGCAACATCTCAACAAAAAGGAAGTTTGAGTGATGGATTCCTGGTACTTGGACGGGTGGCCATGGTCACTCTAAAATCATTTGTGACTGAATCATGTCAGCCATCCTCCCACAAAAAGACATGACAATTCTTTCCACTTCAAGACTCACCACACACTCCCAAAAGCTAACATGAACCCTGAGAATAGCACCCTGAAAGACGGTTCTTCTTCTACAAAGCAGTGGCTTTCAGGCTCCATGTTAGTGTTCAGTGGGGTACCCCCACCACGGAACACGCTCCCCGTGGCTCGCTTAGGGAGCTACTCATGATCGGGAGCAAAGTCGTGATCAAAAAGGCCAGCGCGAAAACGACCGGGAGGTGCTTCCCTAGTAACTGAGCTGGTGACTGAGCTGCCTGTTCAACCAAGTGGTTTGGGTTTGTCATGGTTTGTCCTAGTACTTGCTACTTTTAGGAAAAGGCCTGCAACTAGCATCATCATCCACAGTTTCTGGTAATAGGATATGCCTAACAAATTGCGCTTCACATTTGACCGATTGCTGGGTGGCTGCCCTGGTGGCTGCCCGGTGGACATTCTACGGATCCTTCACTGCAACAGTCGCCGTACATGTCAACTAGTGCTTTGGGTGAATACCAGGGCTACGTGTTCCACTCGGGCTTGGAGGGCGGACGTTGTTTGACGTCACACCCGACACGGCATTGGGACGGCCTGGGTTCGGCTCGGACCGATCCACCCGCAAACGCGCAGCTTGTTGAGGGGTCGAGCAAGTCCCAGAGCTAAAACCAAGGATGCTTCGGTAAACACATGGCCAAAACCAATTGAATCAATGGCGGGCCAGGAATCCTAGAGGAATGTCAGTGCGAAAAAAACCGCCCAGCGCCCTGATCGGGTTGAAGAGAATCAGTGAGGATTATCGAGCTGGCTGAAGGGTCAAAGAAGGGTCCAATGTTGACAGCCGATTTGAGAGAGAAAAAGTTGTAGAGATGGTGTTAGAGCTCAGGTAGTTTAACAACTGTTCAATATGCCTTGTATTAGTCAATTCGTCGTAAATTGTATTGCTATGCGGTCTCTTAGTATGCATGTTGTTAATTCATTGGGGTCCCGAAGTGGTTAAACATCTGTGCTAACCTGATCTAATCTGGTACCTTCTTTGGGAAGTCAGTACCCAGGAAAAGTGGATAACATGAAAACCTTTGTGGGAATTGGTTTATCCACCAAACAAGAAGACTTGGAAAGTTAGGCTAGCTGTTTTCGGAGAGAAACTGACGGGCCATTGTTCTAAGGTTGCTTTGCGCATTGGGATTGATACTCTGATATGAAGGTGTGCACCCGCGCACCGCCAGTTACCCCGCCGTGTTGACCCGGTCACTGGTGACTTTTGAAAGCCATTCGTTCACAGAGGAAAACCAACCAACCAACCAAACAACCAACCAAACAACCAACTTCACCCTACATATTTCGAGCGATCTTCCGTGTACTTCGTGGTTTTTGGAGCTGCAACCGTCTCGACCCGTCCCTGAGCCGTCCCGCAGGACGAATATCTGCGGCTCATCGACCAGCGCACGGGTCATGAGCGAGTGGTCCTGGGCCCAGGCGCTGTCTCGCCCGGCTACGAGGACCGAGCAGGTCATCGACGCGAGGAGGTGCAGGTCATCGAAGTGAGGATGTGAGGTGCGATTTCGGGACGTAGAAGGGACGTGTGACGCGAGGGAAGGCACTGGGTCCCGACGTATGGCATGGCCCCGAGTTTGACCACGACATCCGGATGCCAAATTTGGCTGGGGAAATCTGCTTCCATGATTTTTTTCAGGGGGTGTAAGCCAGCCTTGTTCCACCTGAGATGTTGGAGGTGACTTTGCCGTCAAACGTCGTGCAGAAGGATGGACGTTGAAGTCATCCTTTTTGCATGGTGATCATTCCATTGGCACCATGTCAATGTGGGTTTGGCATGGAAGTGGCTTTCGATTCTAGCACGACTGCACCGGAAAGCAAGGCGGAGGCGGTCCGAATTCAAGATCATTCGGAGTGCAATTTGGTTTAAATTTGTTGAGGGTACCCGTTGCTGTATCAGAGCGTTCCTGAAGCATCCTTTGTAGCACTTATTTCTGGCGAACCATGGTTTGGAGCACTTATTGGAAGTTTGAGCGTTAATTGAGGGTATGTACACTTTTCAGGACATATGAGCGCTTTTTGGTGATGTAAATTCTAAAGCCTACTGGTTCCTGACCAGTGTCCTTATCAACCCTTGTGGTCCTTTGGGGGCCCTATGGACCGGGTGGAAATCCTATATGACCTCCTACTAGTAGTATGTGCAAATGAAACCACAAAGGTTTGGTTCCAACCTTCTGGGCGTGCTTTACAACAATTTTTCCAAAAAGGGTGCCCGCAACTTGGGCGCAAATTCCCGCAACCCGGGCGCAAATTCCCGCAACCCGGGTGCAATTTTAAAAAGTGGCGGATTGTTATTTTACTTACTGTAAATATTTTATGTTGATACTGATGATCAAAGAAAGGGGTTGCTGGCTGCCGCTTCGTAGTGTGTGAGCGTGTGTTGTGTGTGCATGGGATGGGTGCCAGCATGTGGCAGGGGAATGGACTTGAAGACCACATAAGGTGGAATGAAGCTACATCTGACTTTCCAGTGGTACGCTTTTTCAAGGCATGAACACTTTTTTGATGATGTGCAGTCTTTTTTCTGTCACTTTTTTCTGCTACGACGGAGGGTTCAGGTTATGACAATTTGTTTGAAGGAGCGTCTCTTGGGAGCAGCCGTCCGCGTTCATCAGACTGCATGTGTTGCCCGTTATCCCAGGAGACAGCACCGACAAAACACGCATGCCGCATATGAGAAAACCCGAGCTCAAGGCCGAAACAACTCGAGATTGCGAGCCGCCCTTGGCATACTTGTCGCACCGCGCAGTTGCACAGCTTGTCGAACAGATCAGGCAAGCACTTGGGCGTTTTGGGCGGCCTAGGGCTGCCAACCAATCGACCAAGCTGTGCCAACTCAAGAACTTCAACGGCGCCGTTGAGAGGGAAAATGGCAGAACAAATCCTGTTTGTGCGAACATGTGCCCAGTGCCCGCAGGGGGTTTTCATGGTTGTCAAAAAGACATGGAAACGGAATCCTAAAAAAAGGCGAAGGGGAAGACAAAATGTCATGAAAAATGCCCAGACAGTCCATGGGACTGGTTTGACCTACGCTCCAACACCAGCAACTTGCCCTTCATCTCGGTAGGGACTTGTTCCCTAAACAGTTCAACCACAGTGACCCTAGTGGGGCGGAGTTGGTGGCATCCAACAACAGTCTCCAAAAATTGGCCCGGTGCAATTGGGTTTGCTACTTGGTGGCAGGTACATCTTCAGGGTCTTTCAACATGGAGGCCCTTTGGACCACAGGGTTTTGGATGTGTTTTTGGTGGCATTCCCGTGTCTCCCTGCCTGGGGGCGCCCAAATGTTTCTATATGCATCGACGGTCCGGTTCTATGCATGCGGTCATCCGCGAGTGCAGGAGGTGATGCCAGATGGCGTTCAGGCAGCTGTCGCTCGAAGGCATATGTCATGGGGTGGATGATTACAAGAGTCTGACATGAATTCAATGTGGTCAAAGCTGAGCAAGGCATCACTATTTCATTCTAACTCGAGGTTATCGAGGGTGTCACAAAGTAGTACACTAAGGAGATCCAGCCGCTCCATCAGAAACTCCAACTATCAGGGTTAGGTCTTGAACTTCCTGTTGCGTCTCATTGTGCACACTTTGTGAGCCCTGGGCTTGGAACCATCATTAATTGAATAGCCCTTACAGAGCAACCATTGTTTTACTAAGGAGTTTTCACATGAGGTCAACCATTCCCGGGTGCTTGGTAGAACCGTCATGGTGCTATTGAACCCGGGTTTTTTCAAACGATCACCCACGCGGGGCCGCCTTGACTACTGCCCTGGGTGTGGTCAATTTTCGCGATGTCGCTCCTGGAACCCCAAACGACCATGTCCTATGTAAAGTGCCATATTGGATGTTGTGGTTCCCAGGTTGGTGCAGAAAGCTGACACTTCTCATCGTCGAATCACAGCCGTGCATGTGCACATGGCACCAGTGAGATACAATCGCGAGATTTCATACGGCTGCTGGTGAATATGTAAGAAAGTGTCGCACTTCTCACTAGGCTGGCTCTTTGACTGGACCCACTGTAGTCGCGTAAGGGATATAGGAACCTTGTGTTGTTTCCTGCGTTTTGGTGCGGATTCCGGTCCACAAAGTGTGTGTCGCTATCTCTTACACTCCTCTGAGCACATGATCACTCCTACACCTTTAATCCGCACGGTCTTGGGGTGGTCAATGAACACCCCTTTTCACTTCTGAACAGGAACTCAGGAACCCCGAATGCCATCCAAACTTCTCCCCAGACGCAGCTAAGTCACCCCATTTCACCCCCCCCGACTCATGTTTAACAACCTGGAAGACTAACATGGACCATGAAAACCACTGGTTGGCTATGTGAGTTGACTCGGGAGTGTAACAACCGAACGCCCCCACCCCAATCGGCTCCCTGTTCTAAGCACCGCCTCTGAGGCGATGATCGACGACCTCACGTCGGCCGTGTCCTTGGACCGGACCACCGGTCTCCGCAGTTTGCACGCCGCGCCGGTGTCCACGGGACTGCTGATGCCCGCCGCGCCGCTTGGGGGCAAAGAAAACTTGGATTTGTCCATAGGTGCTCAGTGATGTTCAGTTGATTTGGATTTAGGGCGGCTTGGCTGATGATAAAAAAAACTCCACCAGCTGTGGCGGTGGCCTGTTCTTTTGGGAAATATGGTCCAGAGGCGTTGACGGCGCCCACTCGGGGAGAGAGCGACCTATCGTCGTCCTGGAGTGGTATGGGTATTCGATCCACTTCCAGACGGTTGCAAAGGAAGTTCTTAGAATGACCTGACGGTCATCACGCCGTTGGTGCTGAAAGCAGGCACGGGTCGCACTCAGCAAGTGATCAAACACATAGAAACGGACCCGCACGGTAGTGACTAGTGCAAGTTCTCACATCCCTTGTCCCTAGGAGATGGGAAGCTTGTCGATTCTCACTAGAGGGGATACCCCCCCAAAAACGGAACCATAAATAAGGTATATGTTATGGTCACTCCACTGGACCCAGTCACTGGATAACTGTTAGCCGTTTTGAATCTTTTTGATCGTTTTGGGGGGGATCAGATTCAGATGGAAAGTTCGGGCCTTTTTTTCCCAGATTTCGGGCCTCTGGACATCAGGAGTGCTGCCTTTTTCGGCCATGGTCGGTGCTTCACGACAAATGGGGTGGGGGTAGGGCATCGCCCAGGGCATCGTCGACCAAGGTATGAGACTCTGCTCGAGGTTCGCCCCAGGATTCGTGTCCTGGACCACCAGGCGGCCCTCCTCGTTGGTTTCGGTTTCGGTATGCACGGGGCGAAGACCTGTGCGAAAGTGGGGCGAAGACCGGTGCGAGCTGTGAGTGGCTTCAGTGGCTTTAGGTGAAGTGGCAAGGAGGACACGAAATCTGCCTTCTTGGTAGAAATGGTGGGGCCCATCAACAACCACCTACAGTTGCTGGCAAATCGCCACTTGGATGAGGCTCTTGTTGGCCAAAAGGTTAGGAGAAGAATGACCAAATCTGATGATGATAAAGCCCGGAAGAGAATCTCCACAACTCTTAACCAATTGCAGTGCACACTTCCAATCAAATTCTAGGCCAATCGTTTCAGGCGGCGGCATCCCGGGGGAATCCAAAAGGCTTCGAGATCCAGAGCGCGCGCGACACGGTCGGAGGGTGCTGACGTGGCAGGGTCGAAACGCCTCAGGCGGTCGTCTCCAAGACGGTGGCTGGACAGCTGACGGTGCACACGAGCTCTTTGGTCAAAGGGGTCAGCTCCACATAGGGCAGCTGAAGGTGCTCTTAATGCACGTGAGAATCTATTGAATCTATCTCCAACCAAGGGGCAGTTTGAGGGTGGCTTTGAAAGAACATCCATGAACACCCATTGGTAGAAGGGCGGTGCGACAGGGACTTCGGCCAAGCATTGGGTTCAGTACGCTTCGTGCTTCCTCAGGGAGAAAATTTGTGGACGAATGCCGCGAAGGATGGACAGCCCAAGTGGCTTCTTCTACCCGACAACCCCACCAACACCTTGGAAGTGTGTTTTTCCGCGGGCGGGACATGCTCAAGATGCTGAGGTTGCTACATCAGCACTTAAGCACGACTGACATCGCAATACCACAACAAGTCATCTCACCTAGATGTTCAACCTGGTGTGCCCTGGTGGTGCGTGGCAAGCTTCAACAAAAGATAATCCGTTCAAACTGCCATGTTGCGTCGCTCCTTCGAAAAGCCGAACACATGGCCAGTCCTTGCACGTGCACGGTTTCAATGGAAAAAGGGGCCATCTTTCTCAACCCGATCAAAAGGTGTAGCACAAAATAACCTCTAATAAGTAGTGTGTCCAGTTTCTTTTGGATCACTGCATTGGGATCGGATTTGGGAGATGATCAGAGCCCCTTCTTGACCTCAACCTAGTGCTGCACTGCTGCTCTCGTCCACCTGGCCCTGCTTTCAGGTTCCTTCTTCCTAGCGCCCTTTGACGAGATCTTCGCATTCCCGTGGCGACTGGGAGTTCAGAAAGACACTGGCGCGGTGTGTGGTGTCACACGGGGTGCGCGAGTGCACCGGATGTTGGGCATAGACTCTCCAAGGAGGTTGTCAAAACTGTTTGTTTGGTACAAGGATTTCATGGTCATCCAAACGAAAGGGGCCATGCTTTTCATTACCCAAACACTCCATGCAAATGCATATTTGCATGGTAAAATTACTTAAATTTTCTATGCATGGATTGTCTGGGTTACAAGTTCAATCTCTGAACTGCACTTATTACATGTCAATGTTCAGAATCCAATGCTCCTTTTTGGAACTGCAGTTGTTTGGCACAAACCCTCTGATGCCCAAAAATATGGTTCAGGAAACGCTTGGCCAGACTCCTTTATTTTGCCCAACCAATTGCACAGATGCACTATGTAACTGGTCGATGGTTCTTGGGAGTATGCAGGTTCTCTCGTAGATCGAACGTCCGACCGACACCCAACAAGAATGAACCTCATAAATGGCAAGACGAATTGCCCCAAAGCATGAGCTTTTGACCAGGCCGTGCACTACACACTGCCTGGTCGCGTGCACGGACCCTGCCATCACTGCCGTCACTGCCATTCAACAGGTCTCTCTACCAGGACTACCAACCGGAGCCTGCGCCCAAAATCAGCGCCGCCCGTCGAAGAGCTCCGTCGAGTGGAGCGAGGGAATCGATGAGGGCCCGGGGTGCCTCCACGGTGGATAGCCTGTATAACCTTTCTTTTGGGATTGGCTTCCAGATGGAAAAAGGGTAACCTTCATGTTCCAGGGAACCTGAAGAAGTCAAATTTCGAATGGATGGAAAAGCTAGCGTCTTTTTGGGGCTTTCTGAGGGATTTTGTTCATCGCAGGCGAACATCGCAAGTGGTGGCACCATTTTCGCCGGCAGATCCGCACAATGCTCTCCCACCAGAGCTCGACACCAGAGCCATCAAGCACGACGAGCTTCAAAAGTGTTTCCAACATTGGAGAGTGTTGTCGGGGCACTGTGTGACACCAAGGATGTTTTCACTAAGTATTTACCGGTGTTGCATGGTGTTGGAGCACATGTGAAAGCATTCCTCGTGGAGCACCTCATTCTTCGGATCCACATCCTTCCATTCTCGGTGGGTGTCGAGGCCACGATCTTGGACCTTCGAGTGCAAAGGCCGGAAGGGCGCGACCCTCTCGGAAGTAAGCGCCACGTGTTTTTCGAGCTGAAGGAGCAAACCCCAAAAAGCAAGCATCTAGCTAGCGCTTCCTGTCTGGGTGTCCTGTCTGGTGACCTATAAGTTCTAGGTAACCCCGAACGGAAGCAGCTGGTAGACATGTTTCTGCTAAGAAACGAGATGGCATGTGTGAAAAGAATCCGCCATGGAAAAGGTGCCACGACCGAAGATCAACCATCCCAATGGCTCAGCGGGTATGCCTTCATGTGCCATCGTTTGCCGGTCCTGTGATACGCTCTCCGCGGAAAACTCAACGCTGATCTGGTTTTATGGTGTAAAATCCTTAGTAAAAGAATGGTTGTGCGGTAAAGGCTACTAATTTAATGGTCGATTCAACTTCCACAGTGGAGTTCACCACCGGTTTGTAGAGAAATGCGATCTTCCGGGCATTCGGGCTCAGTGCCTGCCGCTTACGGGGAAACCACCGCGGTTTCCCCGTGACAGTCGACCGCCCACGTTTCGGACCCTCGTGGGCGGCCCGTCCGAGCGTGGCGTGGTAGGTTGCCGTGGCGCTTCCTGGCTCTGACGCAAGACAACGTCCGGCTCGAGCTCACAGGCGCCCGTCCGGCTTCGCACAGCGGCCACCGGACCGACCGTGGGTTCGTGGGTTCTGCAGGGGTTGAAGAGTGGCATTTTCTCCGCTCTCTTCGAAGTCCCGAAAGAGTTCCGTGCACGAAGCGCGCGGAAACACGGTCATGGATGTCAATTGAAATGCTGCGGAACACGGCGGGGTTGGAGAAGAAGAGATCGAACACACAACACAGATCGCTCCAATTCGTGTGGTGTGTCGAGATTGGGCCTCCTTGTTGTGCCAAAAGCAAGCAACCTAGGGGGGGTTGCTAAGACTGAAGCCATAGACCGGACGAAACTTTGGTATGCTGTTTGTAGTTTGTTCTTTTTGGCTGCACTGCCATGGTGGGGAGCTGCTCAACAGCCAACTTTGAGGCTTCTGATAGGTTTTGTCCAGCCAAGGAGGCCAAAAGGCGCAAGGGAAACACCTCGCTGGGTGAACCAGCACCAGCCAGACATGCAACCCTACTGGGGGGGATTCGATGGTGAATGCTTCTTCCTGGTTTCGAAAAATAATGAGCGTTTGGCAAATGTGCAAGGCTAGGGTCAGCCAACAACGGACATGTATTAAAAAAAAACCATTCAAACACCATGTGGTGGCGGTTGTTAGTTGGCACCTGATGCTGGTGTTTGTTAAACGTAGCCTGCCCCAAGTTAGCCATTCCTGGAGTCGTCAATACCTTTTTTGACAAGGGACCCTAGTCACATGGTATTTGGATGTACTTGGCACACTCCTATTCAATATATGTGATTCATATATGTCAGCTTGGGCACCCATGGACAACTTCGGCTCGTCTTTGAACGGCTACTCCTGTCCTACCCAGGAGTCAAAAGTGGATCACCTGCAGGTCACCTTTTTTTGGAGGGATTGGAGGGCCCCACGAGAGGTAATGAACAGGTGAAAAGGTTGGTCGACCTCCACTTTTCAGAGAAACCGAGGCAGTCAGTTCTCTAGTTCAAAAGCTTCCCCCCAACCGAGTGCGGAAGAGATCTTGCAACCAGGCGTTCCTGGAGGTTCAGTGCCTAGAACACACGTGGAAGTACAACTGGCTGTGGGTCAAAAGTCAAAACCGGGACCTCTTCATCCCTGGTAGGTTGATCTCTGTAGCTCCACCAACGTCTCCAGGTTGCAACCCACTGCCATGAAGTCAGACCACGATCGTTCCAGGCCTTACGTAGGAGGCTCGAAAAGGTGCGCCGTGTCCTGCATCGCTGCACCACGCTGTCTGAAAGAGGACCACGGAAAATGGCTGTGACGAAGCCAGTCGCTGTGACCGGGGTTTGGACTTGGAAAAGCTGCGCAGCTACGGTCACTTTTCGCCCAAAGGATCCTAATGGCAAATGGATCGAGGAGAAGTAGAAAATTCGTCCTCGGAGTTGAGTGGATGCCGACGAAGGAGCTGAGGCAGATCTTCGATGGATTTTCCGTGGATGGTTCGCTGCTGTGTCCGAAGCTGGCCGAGTGCATCGGATTTGGTGGATGCAGAAAGAAGCCGCGATGGCTAAGGAGAGCAGGAAGGCAAGGGAGGAATGAGCCCTAAGACAGAAATGGAGAGAAGGACAGTAAGCGAGAAAGACAAAGTGAGGAGGAGAGCCACTGGTGCGGGCGGTGGAAGTGGCTGGCTGATGTCGACCCTATTCCGATGCATGTTTTTTTTGGCAGGGCCTTTGATCATAGGAATCGCGGTTCGAGGTTCTGGGGTGAACTGGGTGCGTGTAACTGGGGTGAATGTGTTCCTTTGGAACAGGAAAAAGTATGGAAAGCCCATGAAAATCCATTCATCTTGGCCTGGACCTCGAAAACCGGGATCTGGGGAGCTAAACCGCCCACAAGAAGAAGCCAAGCGGTGTGCACCGGTCAGACCGGTGCCGGTCCGGCACCGGTCCCGTCACTCCCGACCTGTGAACTCACGGCGCAGGGAACACCTTCTGGCAGATCAGCAATGTGGTGACCATGGTGGATGCCTCAGATGATCAAAACAAGGTCACCATGGTCACCAGAGAGTCTTGTTCACCATGTGGTGACCAGATGTGATGATCAAAACAAGACTCTCGGGGTTGCTGGATTGCTCGAAAGTTGTTTGTTACGGACCCTATTTAGGGTAGCAGAAATGAAGCGGCTAACTGCTGGGCAAGCAGGGAATGTCGATCTAGGCCCTCCGTGAAGGGCTTGGATGTATCCCTAAAGTATTTTCCCATCCTTCAATGGTGCGACCCGCTTGCCTGCATCACTAGCATGATGCAGCTGGGATTAAGGCCGGGTGCACCCAACAAGAAATCAACAACAAAATACTTTATCTAGCTGGTGCTCAGGAAGGGAGCGATTCGGAGCCTGGGGGATCTATGTTCCAATCAGGTGGCTTTTCGGAGCTACAGCGACTTCATGTGTCAACCTCCAAGTTCCGTCATTGGGGTCTAGAAGGTGGGCGACCATGATTGACCAGAGCCTGCTTGCTCGTGGCCACGTTCCCCAGTTCCCAAAGTGATGGAAGACATCACATAGGTTATGCTTTTGGATTTGAGCAGCAGAGTGATCATTCTTGCATATGATTGTTTCCCTTCTCCTGCAATTCATCATAGCTAGCTCTTTTCCGTACATGCCACCAGTGCAAAAACACTGCGTGGTTGGGGAGAACTAAAGACCCCCAACAACCGGGTGGTATTTCGGTCGAACATGCACCTGGTTCTTCAAAGTGACCGTCCTTGATATTCTGGTTTGAGGTCACTTATGGGACTCCAAAAAGGTCACTTTGAAGGTCCTGGCATGCTTCACTTGATTAGCGCTCCATTCCCAAACTGCCGTCAGGCACAATCGCGTGCCATTGTTGTGTTTGGCCACTATTCTTGGATTCCAACCACTGCGGGAGTTCATGCCCCTATCCGAACAACCATTGAAATTTCGAGTCGTCCTAAAAGCTAGGGACTACATGGGCCTATATGCTCGACTCACCAGATTCGACCCTTTCTTATGGGCCGGAGCATCGCTCGGTCTCCCCAAATATCCTTTGTGATATGCAGTCAATGGTACAACTCAAAAATCACTTTGTCCACCCGGTCGGCATTGCCAAATCCACAGCTCTACTCTAACTATCCTCCAAAAAAAAGCAAGAATCCAAAATAATCCAAGCCTCTATACATCGTCCCATCTCGCACCCCTCGTCCCATGCTCTCTCTCTCTCTCTCTCCACCGCTCCGCTCCGCTCCGCACACGCCCGAGGCCACTGCCACCGAGGACGCCCCCGCCGACGTCGCCGCGCGGAGCCGGGCGGAGGTGCTGAGCCGAGTGGCCGAGGCGAGGAGCGAAAACGGGGAGAAGCCGGCAGCGGTACCACCAGGAGTCACCAAGGGGTGGAGGATAGGGGACAAAAGAAACTCACTTAGAGACAAACACACTAGAGTAGATGTATATCACCTGGTGGTGTTGGTAAAAATTGTTCCGGAAACTTGATCATAAGGATTCGGTTGCCAGTGAGTTCTTTTTGGCCAAGGATTGGATCCATTGCCCCCGTTGCTCCCAGTACTTCGACCATCCACAGAGATGTACATAGCGATGGTAACAAAGTCTTCCTCACAAAGATGTGCAGGGCTTTGGGGTAAATAAGCTTGGGATCCTTTTTGCACATGTGCGCGGTCTCTTTTGGGGGGGAGGCCGTGAGTGAGATTAGGTGTTGAGGATGGAGAATCATTGCTAAAGCCTTTTGGGTGGTTCAGTGTGATTGTTTTGGAAATACTTGGCAGTCCACACTCGAAAAAACCACATTCGGAAGGCAAAATGGGCCCGCTCGAGAGAAACCGCATTGTGACCGCATGTCAAGCACGCCATGGAGTTGTGTCATTGTGTGGAGCTGTCTTCTTCAAAGACTTGGAAGAGCTATAGGCTATAGGGTAACGGTATCGGATAGGTAATTGGACGCCTATCCCCTGGAATTCCAACTACCAGTGTTGCAATGGCTTTCCAAGGGTTTTACACCACAAAACCCGGTCGTTCCCCTGCTTTATAGCCAGCTGGAAGAAGTCCAGCGAGTGCTGGTTATTTTGAGGGCCCTTTTCCGTGTGTGTTTGGAAGCTGCACGTCACGACCATGGTGAAAAAGTTGGACCTAGTTTGAGGCAGCCCTGTGCCTGTTTCACACAAGCCAGCAAATTAGACAAGTATTAGAAAAAGGTGTTGGACAATAGCTTCCCCGTCTGGTAAACCCCGCGGCAACCTGTAATTCCTGGCTGCCAGGCCAAGTATCGTGATTTCATGGTGCTTCGGCATCAATTGGTCTCCTACTTTGTGAGATCTTTGGAGGGTCGTCGCAATTCAGTGAAATCATGCGAACGGTCGTAGGCACGCGAGGTCGCACGAAACACACGGATGAACGAACGCATTGTCAGGGCAAAGAGGGTATTAGCACAACGAATCGCACCAAGACTATATTTCAATATACTTGACTATCACATTGGATCATGAGAGGCCGATATTACTACGACATGATGCCCATAATGATATATTAAACTAAATATACATATATATATATATTAAATCTATATCATATCGATAATATATGGATGCATATGTTGGGTGAAGGTGTCGGGAGGCCATTTGAGCTTGACAGACTGGTTTCACGAGAGCATTTCTGAGCGAAAGCACAGAGACTGGAAACAAGTCCAAGTCTAAGCAAGATAATGACTGTTTGTTGAAATGTTGAACGTTTCGCATTCTATCTCCCACCGGGCGGCTTGGCCCGAAAAGGTCTGTCATGCTGATGCTGCTGCTACTTTTTGCTAAAAGGGGCCAATGCCTACGTTTTATGTGGACTTGTTTTGGGCCAATGCCCTTTGCTAGATCAACTCGACCCTTTCTGTTTGGGCACCAGCCCTTTTTTTCCTGGGCATGGACACGATTATATCACTATATATACACCACATGTCCAGTAGGTGCGTGCAGGGCCGCTCAATGAACTCATGTATTCAAAGGAGCTTTTCAGGAACAGATCCAACAGGATCCAACGTTTTGGAGTTGAACTGTCATCTCAATCCCTGCAACACCACTCCACTGCCCTTGGCTCTTGAGTTGGAACATACAAACATGCTTAAGAGGACCCATGCATTTTTTTTTTGCGCCTCCAAGGTCAGATTTGACCACACTCTTCCAACAGCTGAGGCCTCTTTGTCCTCGATTACGGCGGCGACCACTGCGCATTCCAGCAGTGACAGCTTCTATTCCCAACGAGGCCGGATGCAGATTCTGCTGGAGGGTCCGGTCGCTATGTCTCTTGGAGGTTGCAAATTCACCGTCCAAACATTCGCCAAAAGGACCAAGTAACCAGGACCTGAGCCGTTCGTGACCCCCCGTTCGTCTCTCTGCCTTGTGGCCTGGCCTACAGGCCTGGCCTCGTGAGCGAAAATCCCGGTCATGAACGGAAGGTCCTGGTTTCTTTTTTGTTGCTGTGCCAGTCGTGTCGCTGGGCCAGTCGTGTCGTAGCAGCACCATGTCACATGCGATCGCTTTCACAACATTACACCCTTCCATAGATGTCCTGACTCTTTGTGGTTCAGCAAATGCCCCGCAAGCATCATGGTATCAAGTTGGGGCATGCGTTTGCCCTGTGTTCATGTCGTGGAGGCCCCGAGTGTTGACCATCATCGTTTGTTCTTACACGCTACCAGCAGGGTTCAAGTAGAAAGCCTTAGTGGCCTTAGTGATCTTTGGAAATCTTGGTTGCTAAGATGCTGCTGTGCTGGGACAGCTCACAACATATACCCCCCCGGGATCTTGTGGGAACGTCCCACTTGCAGTGTTTCAATGTTTGAAGCAGCTTCGGGAAAGGGTCACGCGACGTGTTTTTGGAAACCAGTAAATGTCTATCATGTCCATGTCCATGTCTCCAGCTGCACGGAATGATCTTTTTAGCATCTTTGCACCAATCGTTCTCATCACGGTTGGGCCAAGTTCTTTCATCACCATGCGCCGTGCTTTGTCCGCCGGCACCGCCGTCGTCCACAGGCCTCTCCGTGTCGCGGGTGGAGATCATTGGGCAGCTCGGGAAGCAGAGCGGTTTCGGCGTCGACGGTGGACGTGCGGCAGGGGGACCGTGCGGCAGGTGCGCGAAACGGGCCGCGCAGCTGCGACCGGTCGGGGCCTTTCTTGGGTGGGTGGTTTCAGATATATACGTGGTTCCACGGAATGGTTCCATCGATGGCTACTACAAACGCCGGAACCATGGTGTCCAGCATTTTTGGATACCCTCCGACGAAGACATCGCGTGGTTCCATGGAGGGCGTTTGGATTCCGTGCCACCAGGCTTGGCTCGAAACGCGGCCAAGAGGTGTGCGAAGACGGCATTAAGGACTTGGACCATATGAAAGCGTATGAATGGAACCTAACCTGGCGGGTGCATGTGGCTGTTCCCATGGAATGAATATGAGGGTCTCCCAGCCAAGGCGGTCTCCCAGCCAAGGCGCTTTCAACTAGCCGGGTCAAAGATAGAGAGTACCATCTACAAACCTCCATAGGTTCTAGACTATATAAACTATTGTTGTTTGGGGTCAAAGGGGTTGGCTTAGCGGAAAACTCTCATCTAGATCCTTGCCCAAACCTGCACCCCAACTCCAGACTTGATCTTCAATTTTGCGGGGTAATTCGGCGACACACCACCACATGTCGGCTGCGTGTAACGTGTAACCCACCCGCCATTATGTGGGATTAATGTGCTGAGATGTTTGCTCAGGGCCAAGAACAAGGAGTGCTCAACTTTTCCAGCTTAGCTAGCTACAGCTAGCTAGACATTCGGAAAACGACATCCTTCCAAACCCCTTTGAGAAGTGACGCTTGCACATGAGCAGGACTTTTGTGATTGAATGCTTGGACTTGGACCGATGACGGCCATGATTGAAGACCGTGAGGTATGAAGCTGTGGACGAGGGCGTTGCTGCTTGGCACCAGTGCAGGAACGGACTTCAAAAGGGGTTGAAGTGGGAAGCATCCAGAAGCTCTCAGTGAGAGGAATGCATAAGAATGTCTGAAGTAAACCACGGGACTGGATAAAGTGCTGCACTTAAAAGGGCCAACTCACTACAGTAACCAGTTTGTTCTTTTGACCCATCCAAGCTCCCTTGGTTCACGGTGGCCCCAAGTAGATACATAAGTGAATTGCCCTCTACAGGGAGCTAAAAGGTAGATGACACCAAATCAGGGAGTGGAATGCCAGTGTCACATCACTTTCCACAGGCTCTTGTGCCCTCGTATACTTTTGGGGGGGCGCCACCCCGTTGTATTGCACTAGGCTGTTTTAATCTCTTTTTGACATATTTCCTCCAACACGTTCCAACCCGATCGACGGCAACACAGCAGACATGTTCCTTGCCGCGATTTGGGGGCGGGTATGGAGCAAAAGTCGAAATCCCAAGCAACCGGAAACTCATGAGATTCTCATCCCAAGAATCCGGGCCCGAACCAATGGGAAGGCTTTGGGTCCGTGTCCGGACCCCCCTGCTATGCAAACACGCATTTGGTTGCTTCAATTGCATGGTAGAATGGCATTGATAGTATGCAGGGCGCGAGGTCTGCCATGGAGGGCGGAAGGGTTCCTTGACCCTTCAGAGAGGGGGTTCTCCGAAGAGTCTTTACAGAAACTTTTGTTGCAAGATCCACTGGCACGGATTGCCGTCCTGTCAATGTGGGCATCATCCTTTCCCAATGCTATCATCCTTTCCCAAGTCAGTTGTAACATGAACCCTGACCATGTGCTGTTGAGGCAAAACCCCCCGATTTGCCGTCCCTTCCGAGCATTCAGAATGGGGGGGAGACTGACATGGATGAGGCGAAAGAAAAAAGTATGACGAAACTGCAGGTTTTGGTGATATGTTCCATTTAAATGTTCAAAGTCTGATATCACTAATTAAAAAGAAGCAAGACCTTAAGGATATGTTTCATTGGCTTTAAGTAATATGTTCCATTTGGAATGCAGAATGTTCAATGTGCCCGAAGGTTGTTTGAAAGGCACCATCGCACCACAGGAACGAAAGCATCGTCTCTTCATCCCATCTTTGCACTGAGTGTTCCATCGGGGGGGGGAAAAAACACTCCGACGACCACGTGGAAGTGGAAGTGGAAGAGTTTGACCACCTGCTTTTCCGTTGGTAGAGGACCATGGCTCTTGACAGGGGCCCAAATGGACGCTCCAAGCCACATGGAAGTGGAGTTCACCACCCATCCCATGTGGCTTCAGAGGGGCCAGCACGTCCCGAGATCGCGACGGGTCCGATCTCGAGGCCGAGGTGCTCCGCAGCACGGTGGTCGAAGTCACTGCGCAGGTGGGGGTCTCCAGCGGACGGGGACCGGTGGGATTGGGCACTGGAGCGGTCACCGCGGTGATCTTGTAGTGGCATGGGATGCGGATAGTGATGCAGATGTCAAGCACCAGTGGGGTGGGAAGAATAAGGACTCTTGCGAAGAACTATTCCTTAAGAATCCTGGGGCTGTCGATGGCAGGGGGTCGGACCTTCTCCACCTTCGCAGGGGTCTGGGGCCGACCCAAACCCTATCTCTTGTCTCGCGCGCGGAGTCTTAGGGTAGTAACTAGTAACTATATCGATGCGGTTGTTCGGACATTTTGAGCTTTGGTGTGCTTTTTGGAAGCCTCCCGACCACGCCATTGGCGTGGTCCAAGGCTGCTTCCACGCTGGCTCGCAGGTCTGGAGCACCACTGCGTTTCATATGGTTTTTCACGCCTGCGCCCCCGCTGTTGAGCATCATAGAGACCACCAGCAGGAAAGTAAAGTCAGACAATCACCCTATGGCCCTATGACACTACCAGGACCCAGAACCGGGAGATCAAACAACGACAGGCGCCTGGGGGACACTTTCTACATCTCGGGTCCTTTTCAAGACTTGAAAATCCATGACTCTTGCACTACATCTTTCAGATCTTTTGGTCTCTTTCATTTCACCCACCCCTTTGGGCGCCCGTTCCCCCCATCGGAAAACCCACCCACGCCCTGACCATGCCAACTCCGTTGACAGCCCGGTGGCACCGGTGTGTCTCCGTGGCGCAGACCAGGTGAACCGGCTGATCCAGGCGCAGACCTTGATCGATGCGCCACGGCTTGCGCGTTGAAGCGCGTGCCCTGCGCGAGGCGGTGGGAGCACAGCACTGAGCCCTGCGCGGGGCGGAAGGTTGGGGTGGAAAAATTAATTAAACTAAAAAAGTGAATATATATGTGCTGGGGGAAGGAGCTGGAACTACGCACCTGGCACGGACCGTTCAGCTTCCAAGCACTGGAGTTTTGCGGGTTCATGGCTTGGCTCTGGTGCTTCGAAAGGAGTCAAAGCGATCGGTCTTGTGTGAAGCAAACCACCTCAGAACTGACAACAACGTGGGTGGGAAGCGATCCGTCGGTCCAGTTGGTCGAGCTGGATCTGGCTTTCTGAGGTGAATGCTTCCAAGATGTCCGGGGAGATCAGGCGAGGGTATGGGGCGATCGGAGAGGATGGGCGGGTGGATGATGGAGGCAGGTTACATGGCATTTCTCACTTGGTGTGCTGCGGTTGTTTGGTTGTGCAATCTCAAATGGCAGGGCACCCAAGAGTCAAGCAAACATCGCGCTTGTTCAGGAAGCGATGCGTTTGTTCGAAGGACCACCTCATGAAGCCATGGACTATCCCAATGGCGCCACAAAATCTGAGTCTCACCACTCAGTTCCCTACAAGAATCCCATGTCCAGTCGATTCCATTGGGCCCGTTTGCCAACCCATCCGCTTTTCCGGAGGCCGGTGGTGGCCACCCGCCACCGCCCGTCCCGTCCAGGTTGGAGAAGCTTCGGACGGCCACTGGGACACCGGAGAAAAGAAAACGCGTCGACGCGAGTCCGGACTCCGTGGCAGGCGGAGAGAGGGCGACGGAGGGGCCGCTTCGCTTGGGGCGTCAATTTTCGGCCAAGGCACATGGGAGTCAGTGAGACGTTGACCCCAAAAGCACATGAGGTGAAGGTCGGTCGGAAGGACATGTGTTTTTGATGTAGCGGGGGCCGTGCAACAAAGTGTGCTAAGATGATGTTTGGGGAACTGCATGTTTGCAGAGCTTCTGTGAAAACATTGGATACTTGTGAAGAGAAGGGGTCCAGTTGACATGAGAACTGCCAATTTAGATACTGTTTGATAGAACGGGTGTTGACGTGTGATGGTACAATTGTTTAACCATCCTGAAGTGGAAAAGCTCCAGAAAAGTTGCAATAATGGAGAAGATTCCGTATAAGTATTTGGCATGGTCATTGTGTTCTTTTTGCTCGAGGATGGCTAGTGTCGCACACCACCAAGATATGTTGGCCCGTGACGCCCAGAGATGCGCATCGGCGTGTTATAGTTTTATGCTTCAGAACTCCACTGCCCTAGATGTCAAGCTGCCCCGTTCCTGTGCTGTTCCTGCATGCTGCTCTTTTTTTTAATGATACGGCGACCACCGAGATCTACACCTCTGGGCTTGTCCAGCGAAGCGGAGCGCCATCGAAGTATTCTCTCGGCCTCGATTTTGGATGAAAGCGTTCCAAAGATCTGGGAATCGGGCTCCCCTCAGAGCTGATCAGAGGTGATATGAGATCGGAGATTCGCCGAGTTCCAAGAAGTCTCGTGCCAGAGACTTCAAGAGAAAAGGAATGAAACCCGATTCCACTCACTCACCGCATGGCCTGGCTTGTCTCCGGTGGTTAACGAACAGGGACCCTGGCCACCCGCGGTTGGCCTTTGCGCTTGATGCTGCCACACCTTGGTAGTCGCAGCATGTCGCAGCCATTGGGCAAACCCTTAGCAAGAAGCTACCAGTAGCAAGGTGCCGTACTACTAGTAGCTTGTTACATCTTGTTACTACTAGTAAGGCACCGTGCTACTAGTAGCAACAAATCACTTCAGTGGTCCAAGGCAGGACGGAATTGTTTTTGAACACGTCCCTCCGATTGATCCTTTTGATCACCGGCCGTGAGCTGGCGGATTCTTGCCATTTCTTGCCCATATCAAAATGCCCCGGCTCCTTCTCCAAGGCCTTTATCACACACAAAGCCAACAATGACTTGCTGCTGGCCATGAATGAAGGGGCCAAAGAACCTCGCCAGCTTTGCGCCCACCGCGCGCGGGGAAGGCGTGTGTAACGAGTTCGTCACCATTTGTTCGGGAGCTCGGCCGGACAGCTAGTCAAAGAAGGCGACCTGCTTTGGACGGATATTTTACCCAGTGATTTGGTGAGTTTCCCAAACCGCGTAATTCCCAAAGCTGGTGAATATGTGTGTGTGTGTGTGTTGTGTTTCCCGGGTTCCTGGGAGCCGCAACTCCAAGAAATTCTTGCTGGATTCTCTCTCCAGAACTTACGAGGAAGTAATTCTCCTATCATATTCCTCGTTTAGCATTTTTACTGGAGGGTTTGATTGACTTCCTCGCAAGTTCTGAGGAGTGCAATTGAGTCCTTATGGAAACAGCTGCAACTCAAAATTCATCGTTGCCGGTCCGTTGCTGGCTGAGAACGGCCAGTTGGACATGGTTCCCCCATAAGCGACGGCGTGGTTTGATGGGGGAGACCCTGACATATCTATTGGGAATTTGCTTGGCTGTTCGCAGTTTATGTGCTGATGCTGAAAATGCAACTAGGCTCAGTTGGCAAAGGCTGCATTTTGAAACCTTTGTCAAAGCGAGTTCACCCAAATGCCCTACAGTTGCAGGAAAGAACCGTGCACACCCATGCACGATCTGCAAAAATCAAAGCGTCGAAGGCTTCGCAATGGCTTCTCAGGCGTTTTCCGTCAATGAGGTCCTCCAGTCGACCGCCACGCCTTGTTTTCATTGGTTTTTGGGCACCGAAGGGCTCTCGACCTTCCCTCCTCCCACCCTACGTTGCACGTGTTGCCTTTGAAACCGCTGGGCCGAGGAGGGGACCAGGCTTGTGGAGGAGGCAAAGACCTTCTTGGACGGTTTGAACACCTCCATCACCGACGCTCGTTCTTTGTTAGATGACCCAAGAATGGACGACTGAATACGACTGGTGGAGATGGGGTCGTTGGCGAAAGGAACCGCAGAACCACATCCCAGAAAATTTCCAGGTTTTGGTTAGGTCGTGCGACTTGAAGTCTTAACCTCAAGAATTCACGCCCAAGTCGCTCATGTGGGTCTTGAGCTGTTTCAGCTTAAACCCACCTCCGTGGCAGTGAAGTGTTTGGACGGGATCAGGGGCCAATTCAATGATGAGTCGCAGTTGACATGGCTTTTGCAGTGGTTTCAGACTAGATGGCACAAACCCCTACATGTCTGGTCCATATAAACCACCTTTTGGGGATTGTGCCATCTACTCAGCACCCACTGTAAACATGACTTGACCAGATTTGAGTTGTTCCTGGTTTCGGAGCTGCTTTATTTTTGATACCCAGCGACCACTTGAAGATTTGCCCGGGCTGAGGAGGCCGTGAGCCGCGTGGATTTGCAACTTGGAATCCGTTTGACACCGCTGTGGAGCGTGATGCGAAGTGCAGACGAGTTCGGGTTGTGCTTGCCATTCATAAGGGATTAGCACCACTGTTCGGTGGCAGTTCATCTCGGGGTTCGCACGCGAATGCAACGTGGTTTTCTATTAAGTAGAGCTTCCGGACCCGCATTCACCGGACCAAGATTCGCAGCACGAGCAGCACGAGCGCTGACCCAAGGTACAGGCAATACCACGAGCAGGATGCCATCAACGAGTTGACCAAGCTCTTCGCAGGCGACCGGTGTTTGGGGCGGGTGGGGCGACCGGGTGTCGAGCGATTGGGTCACACGTCGGAAGCGGAAGGAACCGGATGCCTGGAGCGCATCAAAGCAGCAGCACTCATTCCTCACAAAGGGGCGCCAAGCTCCAAGACTAATATTTGGGGGGGGGGGGTCCGGTCCAAGTTATTGTAAGATGACGGGGCCTGAAGACCACGGCACCTCTATTGGAGGGGTTCAGGTCCTTCTTTGAAAGGAAGTAATGCCTGATACCGTCAGAGACCCTGAAGACTCTGAAGACTTAGTTCACTTGATGGACAGACTTCCATGATAACAGACCCCCGTGTGTGGCTGTGAAGAAATCCGACTCGTGGTCGTTCGCATTGCAGCTTTTTTCTAGACTCATCTAGACTTAACTTGTGGAACCCCTCCTTGTGGGTCCAAACCTTCGCTCTGTCAGCTCCTGAAACTGCTCAAGTGATTAACATGATTTGATATGAACCCACGCCAAGAGATTCATATATTGTGCTAGAAACAGTCAATATGTTATAAACATTCTAACCGATCCTAGTTCCCTCTGCCAAGCCCATGCATTTGGAAGAGCGCCCCCCTTTTGCATTTCAATCTTGCTTGCTCCTACCTACTCCAGTGAATACTACTGCAACTTTCAGGTCCCCTAGAAAAACGGTACACCCTTGAAAATTGCAGCAAGTCCCAGTCTCCACACCGAGCTTATCCCATTTCAACATCCACACTCCTGTCGCTTGCCCGCGCGGCACGCGGGCGTGCCCCGCGCGACACGCGTCGCTCAGACGGCCCTTCGAAGTTTTACCTTCATGCAAACGCTCCTCGGCCGAACAAAAGCGGCCCCCAAGCGTTGGCATGGTTTCACCTGCTTCGCCGATGCACTGTGTTTGCTATGGTTTGCTCACTCCATTTGATGAACTTTCTCATGCATAGGGCCAGTTCACGACTTATCTTTTTCCACGAAGGATCCTCTCTAGGACCCTCTTTGTTTGGTCCGAGAGACTTGATCGGCTCATGAAACCACTCGCAGTGAGTTCCCCTCAAGGGCCACGGTGGCGGCATCTGCCCCGAAGGACTGGACACAAAGGGCAGCACACACAGCTCTTTCTTTCTATGTTGAAATGGGTTGTAAACAAAAGCTTTGATGTCTCAGTGCTTTGGAAAATCAAGCCTACTAATTTACGGCCCCTGCACAACAGGCAATGTATGGTCGAAACCATGGGCCCCTTTACATATTGGAGTGATGTTCCATTTCGTGGATGGAAATCCTCAGAAATCCTTGTAGCTTCTTCTTTAAAGAGACGTGAGAACTGAGAACCCCCTGAAGGCCCTGGTTCGTTTCAGAGGACCAACACTGGAGAAAATCCAATGCCTCATCCACCCAACGGTCCAACCTTCCACCCCGGACTGGACGTCCACCCTTCCTGGCGCCACGTGCCACCGCCACGAGACTCGTGGTCCGTGGAAAGCGGTCCAACCGCCGAGGACACGGACCTCGTGTTGTCCAACTATCGTACCGAGTTGTGAAGGACTCGGAGGTGCCCCGGAGACGCGGCGCGCGCGACGAAAAACGTCACGTCACCCTGCGAAGCGCCTGTTGGGGCTCGAGCCTCGGAGCGAAGTGGTGGCGAAAGTGAATCTGAAAAATGGCATGAGTGGAGGTGACGCGGTTTGTAGAGGACAAAAGTGGTGCCACTTGAACATGCCCTAACAGAAAGGTAGTAAAGATTTGGTTCAAAGTGGGGTGGTATGCTTGCTCAAGTCCTGGCAAATTGGTTGTCTTCAAAAAGGGTTCCCTTTTGATCATTTTTTGCAGCGGGTATTCGATGTATAGATGCCTGGCCATTGGTTTGATGGCCTTTCTAGTTTGCACATTGGTCCGGCTCCCATTCTACCAAGTCGCCGCCAAGTGTGGATGGCAAGAGGGTTGATTTTAGCAGAAGTGTTCTATGTCAGAAGCTGCCGCCGCGGGGGGAGTGTTGGTCAAGTTGGGGCTGAGTGAAGTGATATAGTGGGAGGAACTGGCCTTTGGAAGGGTTGCACAGCACATAGAACATGATGCTAATGATGGGAGTGCTGTATATCTCTAGTCTACATAGTGTCTTTTGTGCACCTTTTGTCTTGCTAGGCCCCCCGAGCATTTTCACACATGACCTACAAGTCGTAGGATGGCACAGCTGGGTGAGAAATGACCCCACACACAAGTGCAAGAGCTGAAAGACTCGAACGCTCCCCTCACTGCAGCACTGAAAGACCATCAATTCATCATCCGCCTCACTTGTTCAACCATGGGAAGTCCAAGATGATCCCACTACAGTGGTTTCAGAGGTTCGATGGCACAGCAGACCCCAAGATGTCCTGAACAGATGGGGGTCCATATAAACCATCTACTCAATCTACTCTCAATCCACTATAGCTCATCCCAGTTGTTTTGCCTCTCTCTGGCCTGCCAGGTCCCCCCTGAGTCGTTGGTCTCACGGAATTCGCGGAGCGCGGGGAGCATCGGTGGTCCCGCGGGAGGGCGCCGGCGAAGGCCCGGGCAGTCGCTGGTCAGTGTAGTGGTTGGGACGTATTCATTTTTGAGGAATTGCACTCTCTGAAATAATCATGGTCCAATGGCTATGTGGATGACAAACGACCCCGAGTTCGGATGACCATGAAATCCAAATACCAAACAGGTGGTGAACTCCACATTCATTATTTTTTTGTCAGGAGTTAATCAAAAGCTTGGGAGGCGTAGATGTCCAAAGTTTGCACCACTGACTGCAGAACACTGGTGTCTTGCCCAGACCACCCCACAACTGATTGCTGCACGAAATGCGTTTGATTGAGAAGTTTCAAAAGCGTTTCATCTACATATACCTAAACGCCTCTTCACTTGCTTAACCTTTCTGGGTATATAGGTGTTTGTTCATGTGTGAGGGAGGTTTTGGAAGCATGTGAAGGACCAGAATAAAATCCAGACATGCACCAAGAAAGTGGCACAGAAGACCTTGACCTGCTCAGAATCAAGTTTGGGGAAATGTGTATAACTAAATCAGGACCTGACCAGAAAGCAAAGCAATCCATTAGCAAATGTGGTGGTTAATTATCTCCTTATCTTGATCACTGGATGGAAGGAGTTTCAATCACCAGCGCCCTCCCATGTGGCATCTTCAGGGCCTCCGGCCGTTCTAAGCTAGCGAGACCATGGCCCTGCGAAAGCCTGAATGAGAACGGTCAAGTCTTGGTAATGCTGGCAGTTGATTGGGGATGCATATGGACCTTCACTCAATCAAGCTATGCTGAGTGAATTGAGATCTGCAAAAAGGCAATTGAGATCTGCAAAAAGGCTTGGTGATTCGGGGGAACTGAAAACCATCCCATGTTCCACCGTTTTTCGGGGAATCGGAACTCATTCTTGGCCGTTCCTCACACGCGTTTCCCTCCAAGAGGGAGCGTTTGGGTCCACCGTCGCCGTGGCATCCGAGAGTTGCGCGCGTGGAAAGAAAAGGAACGCGTTCTGGTGCCGCGCGGGGATGTTGCGATGGGAAGGTGGCACGTAGGTCTGAAGGACGACGCAAGCCCCCCAGAGTTCACACTGAAAAGCTTGCAACTGCACAAACGTATACACTTATTGCTTGGCCCAGGTCAGTCAAACCACAGCAGTGGGACTCCCAGCATTTGGCCTTTGCCTTCTCAAAACGGCGCTGACCCACCAAGCACCTTTGCGGGGGCCGCTCAGGTGACGGTCGAGTCGCCGGAGCCACTGGCACGGGCGATGCATCAAGGCTTGTGGGACGAGTGGAGGACCATATGACCCGCATCGTTTTACATGCCTGTGATGTCTTCAGGTAACAGAATGTATCCCCATTTCAAGCTCCACACTTTTTCTAACCACTGAACAAAGATGTGAATGATGCTGGAACAGACATGTGCAATTTCCAGCATATTTAAACCCAGCTTTCTTGGCCCAAGATGTAGGTCTTCATATTCTGTACAATGGCGCCTCTTTGTGATAAAAGTCAGGGCAGTCATTAGACCTCAACATGCTTGGGCTTGGGCCAGAGTGTGGAACTTCCAAGCTCCAAGGCTACCCTTTCAGAAGGTAACTCCCAACGACACGAGGTCAACCTGCTATGTGGTGGAAAGGACCAATCGGGGGTGTCTCGTGAACTCTTCGGGGCATAGCCATTACCTCATATGCCCACCCGCAGGTCAGCTTTGGAACATGCTAACATATTTGGAGGCCGGTTGCCTCAAAACCGGTAGATAGGCAGAGGGTGACACATGATGAGAATCAGTTTGGTGAAACGTGGCTGATCTTTTTGACCAGGTAAGGAGATAGAGGGGCAAATTGGACAAATTGATTCTGCGCCAAGTGATTCTTGTGTGCGGTTGTTTTTTCAGTTCGCCCGATTAGGAAGGACTGTTTGGCCATCCCACCACTGGGGCTGTGAGAAAATGGCCGGTTCCCTCATGGATGGCAGCTTGGTCCAAATGCTGGGATGCTGCTTTGGGGATTTGGCAAGCGATTCGATACCCTGTCTTTCTTGTTGGCAACTCACATGGACAATGCTGTTTGTTCTCAATCGGCTACCACCTCCCCAGCAACAGCTCCCATGGCGCGAAACAGGCAGAGATGCTTTGATCCAAGCGCTACGACCTGGTCTGGGCCCACAGACACTTGCGCAACTCTCGGTGCCACCCAAGAGCCTTTTTGTAAAGCCGGGTGCCCGAACAAGATAGATTCTTACATTCATCCTTTCTGAGAACCATACAGTCACCAAACATCCAGAACCAATCAAGACCACCCCGGCCGACATTGGAATGGCATGGGGACGAATTACGAAACGAATAGAAGGCCAGATTCATGGTTCTGGCAATGGCATATGATCTGAAGATTGATTTGCATTGAACGCTTCCGTCGGAATTGGTGACAGAATGTAGAACAGACATGGAAAAGAAATCAGGCTCTTCGTGGTCAAGGTCAAGAGTCGGGTCAATATGTTCAGGGAGTCCGCTGGTCAGGATGATATGGAGGCTTTCCGGAGCGGAGCTTGTCCCAAAAGGGCAGATGCCTGACGTGCATCAAGCGGTCTGTTGAAGCGATTAAAATAAAGCTGCCCCGAGATCCTTTTTGCCAGTCATGGCCCAAAACAGCACATAAAGCTGAGTTTCGGTTGGTGGACGGAGGCCGGCATACCTCCGTTTGCACAAAATGTGCTTCCTGACGTTGTCGATCTCCACTCTCTTCGCACCGGCGGAGTGAAATATGGAAGAGCTCCTCTGCGTTCATCCGAGACACGTCACGACAGAGAGGACAAGGGAAGACAAGGGAAGAAACACATATGTGGTTGCTTGGATGGTACCGGTACCTGCGCGTGGTTAGATTCAATACAGTCAATGTACCTCGGGGTCTTTGGGAAGAGAAACTCAGTGAAATGGCCTTCACCTTCAGCAGCTTCAAGTCAGCATAGAACCTTGGGCTGTGCAGGGAGGTATGTCGCAACAATGCAGCTGCTATTGCACGCAGCATTTCATACCTCCACCTGCAGGTGCAGGAATATCTTTTTAGTTCGTCATTTTTCTGCAACTCAAGCTGAGAGAGATGAAAGCATCAAGGCTCTTCGCGGAAAGTTGACATTGCCACAGGTAGCGCTCAACGCTTGGCGTCAAGCACCTTGGTCTGCGTCAAGCACGTGTAGCCTCGCCCCGGGCGAGCCACAGGGTGCAGCGTTGTGCCTTTGAGAGCCTCGTGTCGACACAGGAAAGACTTCGAGTGATGGAGCCTCCTGCTCAGTGCCGTGCGGATGGGCTATATGTTTCCTGGGGCGTGTGTCCACTGGTCTAGGCGGTCTGGGCCCCAAACCTTTGATGGTTCCACAGGCGGGAGAAGACAGGCTGCTGGAAAACCCTTGGCAACAGTGAAAGCAGTCTCCATGTTCACCTGTCCACTCAGAGCCCAGTCTGAGCAAGATATCCTTGGTTTCTCGACTCATAGTGTTGCCATAGCTTGCTGGTAAATTCCTTGATTGACTTGACTGGGCTGAGGAGGACATTTTCGGTTGTCCCTTCTGATCCCAACAGGTCCTTGCCATGCAACCCTCAGAAGTGCTGTCCACAAAATGCTTCTCTCAAGTGCTGGATTGTGCTGGCCCAGGCATTCTTTTGTTAGTGGGGTGTTTCAGGAATGAGCATTTCTGAGCAGAGGATGGCCGTGTCCAATCTTGATCAGGGGCCAGGCAGTTGTGCGAAATGTCCGGCACCTGGCGGCTGATTCCAGAGATGCCAACCGCAGGCCCTTCTTCGGACTCAACTGGCACGGTCATTTGATGCAGCTGCCCAACGAATATGTCCTTGCAGAAGCTTTAAAGTTATGTCAGTTATGTATGCATTTGTTTCTGAGCGAGTGTGCCTCCTTACCTGCAGTGCACCAACAAAGACCCGGCAAGAAATGCTTTCGATAGTGGGACCTGGCTTTTTGGCTAAATCGCTGCTTTTATGAAGCATGGACGCTTTCTTTGCCTGTGTGTTCTGGGAGGTGTACACCCTATCAGGCTTTGCATGGAACCCTCGCAGAGCAAAAGCAACTGCCACTGCCCTTCCACCAGTTCTACTTCTTGTTCTATGTGAGTATGTTTTGGGGGGGATCGATTTGAGACTTCACTCACACAGCAGAACATAATCACATGACATGTCTCCTCCCACATGTGGCCATGTGTTCTTTTTGCTTGGGCTCAATCACCAAAAGACATGTCATGAAGAAGACCATGAGGAAGGATCATCACATAGACATGTCTCCAAAGACTCCCACATGTGCACCTAGAAGAAGGATCATCACACCCGTTCGGGCACGGTGACCGACTCCACTCCACACCGATTCGCTCGGCTCCACCCACCCAGGCCTCCGGCAGGTGCAGCTGGCGCTGGAGGCGCCCATGTGGCGCTTGGAGGCCTTCAACCCGGCGGCGGGGAGCAAGCTGCCCTGCACCCTGCGCCCTGGAAGGTGAAGACCTGGGGCCGGGCTGGGCTGGGCTGGTTGTGAGGTTCTCACTGTGATGGGACCATTTACTTCCAGGAAAGATGTATGAAAGACTACAGCGTGTACCTTTAATATGTGTCAGGGTTCTACGTCGGATGCCGCCATACCCTGGCAAGAAACATGGTTTAAAGACTACAGTGTTTGACTTATGTGCCACGGATCTCTCAGTGGCTAGGTCGCCCACTTGTGCAGGTCTCGGACTGGGTTGGCGGTTTGTGGGGACCAATTGCGATTTGCGAGCAGATTTGATTCCTTGGGTTGGTAGTAGGTGATTGTGACATGTTGTGACACATCCCACGCAATGAGTAGCCTCGGCTAGTTTGCAAGGAGGAAGTGGTTATATCCTTCTCAAGTTATGTCACTACTGTAGGTTGCCTCCTGAACCACTAGAAACCACCTTACACGAGTTCTCCATTAATAGCAGTCTTGGTACCTTCGCTGGGCTTCTGACCGTTTTGTCTGTTTGTAGTGCTCATCCTCGAGCAGCCCCATCCCCATCAACCCACCTGCCTCAGACATCCTCCCCCGCCGTTGAGCGCCACCAAGGCGTTTGAGGTTTCCGCTGCTCGGCCAGTTTCGACGGCCGACTGGGGCGGAAGCGCCGTTTCTTTTTCGTTTAGAGTTGTGGGCTCGTACTACCTGCTTGTTTGGCACCACGATGCCGTGTTGGTCTTGTTCCTGGTGAAAGGTGGTTTTCCCTACGTAAGATGAGCTCAGAACATTTTTTGGATACTTGCCTCAAGGCGTGTGATCATGGAGGTACTACAGGGGATGAAAATTGGTGTGTGGATTTGGCACCTGAGGCTTGACCATAATTCATGGTTTCAAGATGCTGGAAGTGGATGTGTTGATCCACCCTTCTCCCTGTACCAAAGGCTGGTTCGATGTGTTACGAGGAGTGCGCCTTCACAAGTCACCTGAGAGGAGCAGTTTTAGTGTATGTATGTAAGCACTAATTGTATGGGCACAGTTCTTAGAATTAGAAAGGTTGGGAAGATTTCCACTATGCTGGCACGGGCAAGTTACCTATAGATTCTTTACATTTTCGTTCCAGGTCTACTGAGCTCACATGGCCGCCTTTTTCTGCCCCAGGTCCAGCTATCCAAGCTCCGCCATTGCAGGCTTGAAAGAAGTGCCTTTAAAGCCGCTCTGAGTAGCACAAATTTCATGGAAGTTCATGGCTGGCGATTCATAGATAGAGGAAACCCACTAACCGCTTCGCTCCCATTGCTGCTTCTCATTTAGAGACTTTCTTCTTGTCTCTGTTTACACCAAGTGGTGGCACGCTCACCGACACCTACCATGGACATCCACTGAATGTACATGTTGTTCTTTGCAGTGTTGCACCCGTGTCGGCCAGACCATGAGCTTAGTTAGGACCATAGTGCCCGGGAGCAACCCTAATTCTGCTTGTTTGATACACGCTGGTTGTTTGTTGATTTGCATGTCAGTCAACCAGCACGCTTGCCCTGAAGAAACCCACAGTCAGCCAACTCAACGAACTGAGCACCAAAGCTCCCACCTTTGGGCCTCTTTTGTCCACAGGGCGGCCAGCACCTGGGGAGTTCGACGTGGAGGTCCGTAGGGGTTCCTTTGATGTCAGGTGACCAGCAGGGAACTGGGCAAGATATATAGATACCCTATAAGAATTCAATCCTCACATTCCGTAGGGTTTTGACATCGATGGTGCCCCTGATCTGTTTGTAGATTGGCTGTATGATGATAGCGGTGGCTTTGCCAAAGCTACTCTGGTAGATTGTTGATTGTCGATGATTGTCAAGATCCGTTTGTATAGCAATTCCATGAAAACCATTACCTCGTAAAAACAAATATTCTTGAGGATGTTGTTGAGCACTGAACCTCACATGACAGAAACAAAACCACATGCAATGGATGCTTGCAACAGAGTGGAGTTGGCACTTGCATACATCTACGCACGCCTGAAGCGACGCAAATGATGTTGGTCGCTCTGCGATGCAAAGTCAGCATACGCAAAGACCAAATGTGAAGATTGTTTTACAAAAGCTGTTTCAGTCTTCAGCCCGTTTTAGTTGTATTCCACTTGGCCTTTTTTTGCATCTAAACAAACCTGGGGCGATATTGAAGTAAGTATCCATAAAGAATCAAAAAGAAAACCTTTCTTGAACAAGATTCACTTGTTGTTGACCAAAAAGTTCGGGCGAGACCTGTGGCGTTTGTAGTTTCTTTCTTTTTCGGGACGGCTGAGCTGAGTGAAGTCAGTGAAGTCCAGAGAGTGGAAACGTTCAACCGGCGACCTTGTTGATGTTTCAAGCGATTCGAGCAGCTCCAGGTTATTTCCGGAACAGTGTGTCGAGAAAGTTGCATTCAATATAAAAGTTCCTATGCAGGGGCGGCACCACTGCAAATGTGCGCAAAAACCTCTGAAGGCTGCATTTGCTCATGTTTGCTCTAGCAGTTGTTTTTGGTCCTTCCGCTTGGTGCAGCACCGCAGGTGGCCGCCCCAGGCTCTTTAGGCCGTGAGGCCATGAAGGCTCCGAGAAGCCCAAAATGAGGGAACAAGGATCAGGGAGAGAAGGATGTGCTAGAATGGAAACGGTAGTAAGATGGCAGGTCCTATCCCATTAAAGTTGTGGGGGTCCTCAATGAGGCAGTGAGCAGGAGATCAAAAGCTTCCAGAGAGAGAGAGAGAGGAAAAAATAAAAAAGAAATGAATCCTTTCAGATTCAGATAATTTGGTGCTCGTTTGATGGCACAGCCAGGGTAGTCGTTCTCCGCCAATATTCCTGGCCAACAGCCGGTTGTCCTGATTTAGGGGCTGTCACCCATGCCTGTTCGATACATGGCGTTCCCAATGGGACTCCAAGAGCGAAGAAAGGAAAACGGTCCAGAAGCTCCCAAATACTTTGGATCCTGAGGGGCAAAGGAATCACGAACTATTTGGACCACCACCTCCCTGGCTAGCACCAACAGCCAACATCCATCAATCCAAAAATGTTCGAAATCACTACCATCCAACGAAACCTGTTGGATTGACTACCATCCATCATTCCGCTGACTACCATCCGTTACCATCCCCCTTGCCCTCCATGGACCCACTGCACCACCAGCCAGGCAGTGTCTCGGGCAGCATATTGTCGACTCTCAGAACTGTGCCAGGCTCAAGGCGCGGCTGCCGGGCGAATGGGGACCTGGGCATTTTGGAAATTGATTCACTTGAATTCTTGGAGATGGAGGTCGGTGTTTTCTTGGAGACCCATTCAGTCCCAGGCTATCCGTTTGTGTTTCAGCAACACTGTCGCGAACAGTAAAGAAGAGAGGGAAACCCATGGTAACTTCCTGAAAATGACATCACAAGCAGTGCTGTAGATCATAATGCCTTTTATGTACTTCTCAGTGGGGTGAGCAAAGCGCGTTCGGCATTACGACACGTTTGCCGGGACAAAACACAGAGAACACAAATCTAATAGCATCGCTTCAGCTCGGAAGGGCGCTTGTCAGGCTCAAAAGGCCAGAGACGTAGAGAGAGGGACCAAAAGTGTCCCTCCAAGCAGTCGAACAAGCAGCCTGAGGAAGCTACTAACTACTTGGGGCCAAACGAAGTCAACACCAACCTCAATTTGAGCGTGGTTCGGATGAAGAGATGTTTGACTGGTTGGCACCAGGTCAGTCTCTTGACCGCGCTGGCACTCAACATGTTCAAGAACCAAAATAGCCCCACCCCTCTTGTCCCGTCACCGGGGCAAAAGGCTTGGCTCTTGCCGAGATATGCTCCGTGCCATGTTTCAGAGGCTCCGTGTGGGTGGGAAGCTGCCCCACGTGCGCCCAAGGCTCCCAACACGAGATGAAGTCACCAAGCTCAATACGTTTGCAACAGGATTCTACAATGTTGCAGGGTTTGGTTTCCTTTATGGTTCTGGTGTGGGCGCTTGTGCTGTAATGCTGGGGCTGCAAGAAACGTTTGCAGATGCCAACAAACAGAACCTGTTTTGGCTTTTTTTCGACGTTGGCCAAATTTCAGTCCATCTTGCCGGACAGTTTGCCTATGGGTACACCGTCGTACCCCTTTGGAGAGGAGCTGCCGGAGTCGGTGCTGCTGTGGCCCTTGATATGCCAACACCGGAGTATCCCAGCATCCTTGCTACATTGAAGAAGGAGTTAATCAATGCTGGGCAAAAGTTCACCTTTGGCATTTTGCACACTATGGGGCAAATCAAGGAAAAGACGATTGAACAGCTGCGGGCAGAAATTGCTGCATTGCAGAATGCATTTCAACTTAGAGACAGAGCTGACAAACAAGAGACTGCCGAACTTCAGATGCAAAACGAGCAGCTGAGAAAAGAGGTAAGGCTGCTTAAAGAGGAAGCCAAGGCCTTACAATCCCAGCAAGCAACACAAGAACTCCTAAAGACCTGCAATGCCGTGATCTTGGTCGCGGTGGGCTTTGGTGTGATCGGAGTATGTTTGCGAGGCGGGCTCAATTGGAGAAGCAGAAGGTTCAAGACAAGATTTCGTCAGATTTGGAGGGCCAACGAGGACTTGGTCAGATCCAAGACGTCCCTGAACAGGGAACTTATTGAGAGCAAAAAGACAATTGGCCACAAAGACAATGCTTTGAGAGAGAAGGACAACAAGCTGATAGAATACAGAGACGCAGCCGCCGCCTGCGAGAACAACTTGAAGGAATCAGAGAAGGAGGTGAACAAACTCAAACTCTCCGGGGTAGCCTACACGAGCAGGCTCAAGGAAAAGGAGGACGAGATACACAAATACAAAGACAAATTGCTCACCAAAGAGAGCAAGCTGATGGAATCAGAGGAGGAGTTGAACAAGCGCAACCTCGCTGTGGCCAGCTACAGGAGTAAGCTGACGGAAAAGGAGGACGAGTTGAACAAATACAAACACAAAGTGCTCACCCAGGAGAACAACTTGAAGGTAGCTACACGAGCAGGCTCAAGGAAAAGGAGGACGAGTTGCGCAAATACAAAGGCATTTACCGTCTTACTGAGTATATTCAATTCAGTGGTGTCTTGATGTGTTGCTTGCTAATGCTGCCTTCGAGCGCAGCCGCAGCGTTGTGGATGCTTGTTTTTTGCATCTTTTCGGTGCATTTCTGCATCCTGCACTGGACAATTGCGCTAGCATGGTATTGTTTTGTCCGTGTTGTTGAATGCTTCATGAAAGCAAGCATGCCTCCCCTCAAAGCGAAAGCTCGATGGGCAGCTTTGGTGGGGGCAACAATTATTACCTCTGACGATTATTACCTCTCTACAATTTGTGCTCATGCCCCAGCCCTGGCGAGAATTCTATTAGCGATACGGGATACGGATGAACATGTAAAAAGCCCGAAGGGGATGCATTTGAGTGGGGGGGTTTTCTGGCTGCCGAGGGGCCTGCTAGAAACCCGACGGTCCAATAGCCATTTGGAGTCAGATGAGTGGTTTCGAGTGGGAAAGCTACGGAGTACTTTGTGCGTGTGATTCAAAAAACATGGTTCAGAGTCCTACCTACCTTTTCTTGGCGGCCATCGCCTGGTGTCCAAAAGTATGTCACTTAGTCTTTAGCTTGAGGCTGGTGGGTTCAAGAAGCAGATCGAGAGTTTTTTAATCGCCCCTTTGAGTTCACGGCTTGACACATTCGGGAGCCTTACAAAGTCACATTGGAGAAAGGGAATTCTACATGTTGCAGGTTTTGCTTCATGCGCAAAAGGCGCCTGTGTTCTACAAAGGGTCCAGCTTCCATATTCAAGACACTACAACCTACTGCACTCTAGGGCGCTGAGGAATGGTGAATAACACGCAAAATCCTTTAAAACACTTCAAACCTTTGGTTTCATCGATGCATCCAGTGCAGTTGGAAGATGTCAATAGTTCCTGGAAGGGAGATGCATCCACAGCCGACTCCTGCAAAACTGAGGTTCCCTGATCCGTGGCATGGTGGACTGGGTCCAGAGTATGGGAACCCGAAGGGGGGCGGGAATGTTACGGAGGCGATGATGGGAGGCGATGGGGTGGTTGATGGAGGCAACCGGGGTGCCCATGATCCACTCACATGCATTTTGTTTACGTTACATACCTTGTGTTACATACCACACAGTCGATGACCGGCAGGGCTGTTTTGGGTGGCGTTGCATAGGAAGTCTGCGCTTTGAAAAGGCCCGTGGTCAAATCCCTGGAGCAAGGTTTTGGACCAAAGACGTTCTTGGCGTGGGTTGGTCACCACCCGGTCGATCACAAGTCTCTTTCGATGCTCAGCTTGGGCGGCCCGCCTCTCCATGGTGTGCGTGTGACTGTCAACGGCACAGGCACCGGCCCAGTGCTAACATGACAAGAGGCGCACTCCAGAATATTGCGCCCCATCATGCCGTGAGGTGTGGGAGCAATGTTGTCAGACAATGCTCGCCCCTAAACATTGGTCCTACCACGCAGTATCTCAGACGAAAGAGGTATGCAGCCAACCATTGGTTCATAAAGATGCCATGTGCAAAGTCTCCCATGCTATGTGTATGGAGCCCGCTGGAGGAAATCTATGTGGTAGAAAGCAGGGCCGCCAGTGCGGCATATCCAATTGAAGCGGTCAACCCCGTATATTTGACATGAAACGTTTCGACACTTTCTTGTGACGTTAAGCGTGTCTTTTCCAATCCTTCCTGCGACCCATGCCTACCCATGCCTACCCATGCACCACTTCATGCACTTTGCAACCCAATATAATAGTCGTTTCACCCCTCGCAGCTGTTTGTACCTCGGTCGCCGCCATGCCGCCGACGAGGTACCGAGCTACATGAGCTGGCGGCGTCCTATTGCCAGCCGCCCATGGGCCGTTGTGCCGGTGGAGGCCATGTGCACGGGGCACAGCTGGGTTGCGGGAGGTGGGACAGGTCGGTAAGGTTGAAGATGAGTTTCTTTGTGCTGACATGGTTGTGGAGGTTGTTCGTGTTTCCTTGCTTTGGAGTTGGTTAGTTTCACCTGTCTCGGTCAAAGAGCATTGGTCCAGAGGTGCCGGCAAGATTTACCCCACCAGAAATCTGTGGCCCCCCTTTTCTCCCGCCAACATGCCAAACATTCATGTGTCCGGGCAGCTTGGAGCAGCGGGACGTCTACGACCACCATTGTTTTTCAGAGGTGGCTGTGCAGGAGGTTCTTCCAGGATGATGTGTAGGTGGACTCGTTTATCTCAAGCTTTGCAGGTTTCCCATGATTTGACAAAGGGATATCTAAAGGCCTCCCAAACAGCCTCCTTGCAGCTGGTTCAACTGGTTTTGTCATCTAAAAGACTGAGTGAAGGAGCGGAGTGTTGACATTCAACCCATGAAAGGGTCTCTGTCGAATGGGTGAAATGGGCATTGACAATTCATCGAATGACAGCCAATCAACCCATCATTCAACCCATTGATGAAATCCTCGGGCACTGAGCATGGCTGAAAAGCCCTCTTCAGAGCACCCAGCAGCACGAGCACGTGCCCCAGGCTTGGTGCGGGCCTTCGTGCGGTTCCACCACGTGCAGTCCTTGATGAAGAGGATCAAAACGGTGACTCCGTGGGGAGCGATCAGATGATACGGTTGGGGAATCATTGGGAAATGCGCGAGATTGTTGAAGAGTGCAACTGAGCAATCCCCGTGCCAAGGTTTTGGAAGGAGACACTGAATGAACGCCTCTTCATGAAAGAGAGCCTGCCTTTGTCGTGAGACATCCTTTCCCCACTGGTCGAGGTCAATCCCTTCTCATCCTGTTCAGTGTTTTGAGCTTTAATAAAAGCTATGGATGCCGATGGCACCAGCGTTTTACATCAATGACGTTTGCCGGCTTGGCGACTCTGCCTCCAGTTTCGGTCGTGTATGCGACCGAACCGATCCGAGCGGAGGGACGCATCCGTCCCGGCGGCATCTCCAGGAGCTACATGCGGCTTTGGGCCGAGGACTTGGGCGTGACGGCCGCTGCTCCAAGCTGGCGGGCAGAGGGTGGAGGAAATCCCTGGATTCTAGCTGGACGCAATATGTTTTATTCAAACTGACAGCAATGACAACGAATGTTGGTTTGTTCCACGTTGTCCTTGTGATGCGACAGTTGCTGAAGCCATGTTTTGGAGGATGCCCGTCAGATGCCAGATGACAGAAGGACAACACGAAGAACACGTGTGTTTTAGAGCAACAGCGGTCTGAAGAAACGTGCGTCTCAGATGGTTTGTGCAACAGGTGTTCTTTTGGTATAGGATTCCTCGATGGTGTAACCTGGTGCGGCCTTTTCCAAAGACAAGCCCGAGCTCCTGTGTTGGGCTTTGTGTTTGGACTGCTCGCCCACTTGCTCAAGATCCCAGCATCTCAACGACCATGCCCTGCTCTTTCAAAAGAGGAAGCAACCACGAGCATGTGGGATCGGAAGGGGGTTCTCACAACACACCGATCTCCACGCGTGGTCACTGATCAAGGGATCTCAACCCGGCCATCGGATTGGCTCTCCACCTGCGTTGCGTCGAGTCCGATGGGAGCTGAGGCCTTGCTGGCCACAGGGCAGCCGGCCATGCTGCTGGCCATCGGGTGGGTTGCCTTGGAACCCGGGGGCCGGGGTGGTTCCTACCGGTGCGGCGGCGTGGAGTCAAGGTCAAGCTGCGGTAAGAGCCTGAGATGCCCTGCTTGACTGGGGTAATAGGATGGGGTTAACTCCAATAAGGCTCTGGTAAAAGGACCGGTGGCTTCAGAGTAGATTGCACGTTTTCCAGACCATGGGGTCAGGTACCTGGTGCCCATTTGGTGTACATGGCAGAAGCTCCCACTGGAAGATTCCGTGACTTGTGAGCTGGTGGAACGATGTTTGAACATGGTGATCTTCTCATCGCCGGCGAGTGCCACAGCATGCTTTTTCGATAGGGGCCGGGCCTATGATCATTCCTGTTCAGCGCTGGTCTCGTCTGACTGGAGGCCATCCCAAGACACTTCTAGTCGGTGATCCCATGAGCCGCCACCACGACGTTCCATGTAAGAAAATGGACACCCACGGGTCAGCAGCTACCCAACTGATTCTTAGCCTCCCAACAGAGCCACTCATGAAGCCAGCGGTTCAAGGCCAGAGGGCCCAATGAAAGCCTTCTTGGACCGAGCAATGAAGCCTTCCTGCCCTGTTTGGCTGGCAGGGCGGCTGAGGAAAGGACCTCTAGTAAGTAGAGCCTTCATGTGGACTTTTTCAAGGGCTGTTTTTGGAGCTTGATCCAGGGGGGAGATTTGTGAGGGTTGCTGGTGTGATGGTACTTGCTGAGTTCCAACTTGTAAAAGTTCAGGCCAACCCTCCAAAAAGACTTTGCAATGGGCGTTGCAAGTTGATTTTATGTTTTGAAGTTGAAAGGTGTTCGAGGATACAGCGTTCTTCCTGCCACAAGCCTTTGGACCACCCGATGAATATCCTGGAACAACATGTGAAGCCACCAACTTGTTTGTGAATTTTGGGTGCTTTGACCACCCGGGCCGCATTGCAGGAAGGGGCCCAGCAGAGGATTTTGACGTCATTGCCTACTTCAAGGGATTTTGGCCGCGAGATTCTGCACAAAAACTGCGCTTCCCGAGCAACCAATGTGCATCCACATGGGTCTTACATCTTCCACTGCCAGTGAAGGCTATTTCGCGTGACCTGTCCGTATTTTTTTGCGTAAGCGCACTTGAGAGGACACGGCCGAAATGCCATGATTGGAGTGCCAGCTGCACTGGAGCACGGTGTGGCCAGGACATGTCATTGGGGCCCTACGCCCAGCAGGCCTCGAGTCCCGGACGCTGTTCCCATCCGTCGCCGTTCGGCGTTCTGCGAAGCGTCATAGCACGGCACGACGTTCCCACGGAAACAGATGGGAGCAAGTACAGGAACATCAGGAATATTTGGCTCATTCTACCATTCTCAGAGGTCAGGAATTGCAAGAAAGTACTACATCATTGGTTCTGTCACGTGTTAAACAAAATGTTGGACATTTTGGGTCCACCTGAGGTCTAGGCCCTAAGCCTGACTGGAAGAGTCTGTGGAAAAAATCAACAAAAACCCGTCGGAGGGCACCCGTGATCAGGATGATTGGAGAGGCCCACAGAGTGGGAATCAGGATGGAATCCTCAGTTTTTACATGTGTGGGAAAATTTGGTATGTCCATGAAGTTCATTGAACTCTGACACATCTAAGTTCATTGAACTCTGACACATCTCGCGGTTGTTCCACATGACTGATCTTTTAGGTGCTGAGGGCGCCATCAGAGCCTCAAAAGGGACACGTGTTCAAGCACCACAGGAAGCTTCGAAAGTGCCATGTAGGCATCCTTCTGGCCGATGTCACGCTGGCATTCATTCAAGTGATGTATTATGATGTATTGGTGAATTTTTCGGCGAAGA